AAAAGGTTAAGCGACTAATAGACTAACTAAGGGACTAACTAAGGGCAAAAATATAGAGCTAAGCTAGCCGGGGTCGATCTTGCGGATAAAGTTAAATCCTAAGGCATATACCTATAGGTCCGTATATATACGCGGCACCCTATTTAGCGACTTCTCGTTTCTTCTATAGACAACCTATCGAATATACACTTCAAGTAGTTATAAGCCCTCGACTGCTACCGCAGACCTAATTAAGACTAAACACCCTCCTACGCAAAGCAGAGGGTACGAACAAGACCTAACTAAGACCGATAACTAAATAGCTAAGATAGCCGTTTCCGACTCGACTACTGCGACTGTCGCGACTAGCGGCATTCGCAAACTAATACCTACTAACTATCCCCTCTAGAGCGTCGACATTAAAGCCCTTCTACGGCGCTCTAAGCTACTAAAATATACGACGACTAATCGAGCTGCTACGCTTAAAGACATAGCTTTAAAGGACGATTACGAAGAGAAGGTTGCAGATGCCGCTAACCTGATTACCCTCACTCTTAGCGACTCGATTAAGAGCCGCTTGTCTTCTGCTAATAGCGACTTTAATAATAGCTATTAGCTAATAGCTAAGATTAAGGCTATGTGCTAGCTAGACACGGAAACTAAGTACTTCTTATTATAGAAAGAGCTCTTTAAGCTGCAATATAAAGGCAAGGATATTAAGGCTTATATTGCAAAGATCCGGACACTTAGCGATCGCATTGAGTCCTTTAATGTTAAGCTTACTACCGACAAGCGCGACCTTCTAATCCTTATAATAACAGTTAGTCCGTATTACGATATACTAAGCTACTACTAGACTATTAATTTGAAGGATATAACATTCGATAAGGCCTGCACTAATCTACGCGACGATTGCCGTAGACAGCTTGCTTTAGACCTAATAATCTAGGCTAATATAGCTAAGAAGGACGACAATAAGAACACCGACAAGTAGTACTATAACTACTATAAGAAGAAGCATAGTCTAACCTGCTTTAAGAAGAACCTAGAACTAGCGCCTAACTAGTATAAGAATCTTAACTAACAAGCCGCTAATTTAGCTATTGCTATACTAGAGAATAACCCTCGACCTAGTTTAGAGCTAGCAACTAGTAAGAGCTAGGCCTTCTAAACGACTAAACGGCTAAGAACTAGGCCTTCTAAACGACTAAACGGCTGCTTTAAGCACCTACCTGCAAGAAGCAGAGGGTGTACTAACTAAACCGCAATTAATACCTATTTGCTAGAAGCAGGGGGTACGGCGGCTAATTAACTAATTAACAACTATTGCAAGGGCAAGATGCCTAGGTTGCTAACTAATTAAATAACTATTAGAAGGGCAAGATGCCTAGGTTGCTAACTAATTGAATAACTACCTTGTTTAATTTAAGCGACTTTGTATTTACTAACGTGCCTTATATATGCACGAGGGGGTAAGTTAAATCCTAAGGCATGTGCCTATAGGTCCGTGCACACACGCGGCACCCTATTTAGCGACTTCTCGTTTCTTCCGTAGACAACCTATCGAACATACACTTTAAGTAATAATAGGTTACTCCTCGATCTTTCCGATTTTTTAAGCGAGGCAAACCTTAACTATTACACTTATAATAGCCTTTACCTATAGAAACTAGACGAACTGTGTTTTTGAAAAGATAAGATTAGTTAACACTTAAAGGCTGCTAAACCTAACTAATTAGGGCTAGTAAAACTACGATAGTAAATAATAGCCCTTGTAATAATAAGAACAACCCTCGGAAGCGGACATTTCTAGGTCTTTTAGAGTAGACGTAAAGAACTCGAAACGACATTACTTAGAACGGAGGCAGTGCTATAATACCTCGTACGCCTATCTATTATAGTAGGGAAGACGCGCTTATATTATAATTAGTCGAAGGCCCTTAATTCTTATAGATATATATTACTTTATCGTTTATTATATATAGGGATAGCGCAGTTAGAGTTAGACATTGTGCTAGAAGGTAAGGTTTGATATAGTTATATAATTAGGTAGTTAAGCGTTTAATTTAGCGCGGCTAAATAGCTTAGTTAATCTGCTAAGTTAGCGGCAATAGAGATTAGATTAGAATATAGACAGGCTACGAGGGCGCGGCCTTTAGAAGGGAAGCGTATATTAGAGGCTATACGTAATTAGTATGTAACTAGTTCGAGTAAAGCTAGGGTCTTAGTGCCTTAGGCAGGGCTTAGCGCTTGGCGTTAGGCTAACTAGCCTGCCTTCCTCCTTCTTCTCTTAGATCTCTATCGAATACTATACTAATTTACTACTATCCTATCTACCTACTAACGTAACCCTTCTTATAGTAGTAGATAGGATAGACTATAGATATTCTAGTAGGAAGGATATTCTTAGTATTATCTATAAGCGTTTCTATATACGAAATATACCGCTATTATATAGCGCTATATACCGCGCTCTAAATACTCTCTAAGTATATATATATAGTATAGTATAGTTTATTAACCGTATAGAATAGAAGTCTTCGAAAATCCCGTTAGTACTAAGAAGTAAAAATACCGGCTACGCTACCGGATCTTATAAAGAACTAAAAGAAGATAGACATTCTAGCTAATTTGTATTAGTTTAGATTTTTATAAAAAGAAAATAGGGAAAAAGGAGGAAGGTTAAACAACCTAATACTAATATTTATAGGAATTATTCCTGTTTTCTAGACTATATTATATATATGCCTTCGTAACTCTACCTAATACTCCCTCTAAATATCCTTATATAGTTATACTCTACCTACTAGAAATTTAAATAGGTACCTAGACCTATAGCTACCTCTATATCTTTTACTATCTTCTATAAGTTAAAGGACTCCTCGATAGTAGCCTCTACCTCCTTATATAATACGAAGTTACTTCCTATCCTACCCTTTATATTTACTAAATAATCTAGAGTTCTAAGAAACGAACTAGTATTCGGCCTTAGTATAGCGAGTAACTAGTAGAACGTAGTATAGAGCTACTTTATAGCTCTTTTATATACTATACCGATACCGAGGGAGGAGCTATCCTAGTACTTAATATTAGAGAATAGTTTAGTAAGAAAGTATTAGAACTTATTAAGGAGGGTTTTAAGGCAAATTAATAAGTTCTACCTTAATCTAGATAAAGATATTCTACTAAGTAGTTAGGGAATTAAATAGGGAGCGAAAGGATAAAGATTATATCTAATAAGTATAGTATCTAAATTATACTATAATAGCTTATATATATATACTTTTAATTAGTTAGTACCCTTAGCTAATTATCTATAGATTTAGGGTAATATAAGTACCTTCCTATAACTAAAAAATGCGAGCTACGCTACCGGCTATACTCTCGTATCTTATAAAGGACTTACTTCGAGTTACGTATATATTTCTATACTTCTTAGAAACCGATAAATTCTATAGTTTAAACCTACTACTCCTATAGTTACTTAGTAAACTAATCTAAACTAAACTAGATCTTTAGCTTAGCAAACTAAACTAAACTAACCTAAACTACTATAGGATCTAAGTAATTAAATAAAGTATTTTATTAAAATACTATATACTGTTTATAGTATAGTAATTCCTATTCCTACGTCTAAAAGTTCCTATAGCAATTATTATAGAAATTGTAATTACTACTTACTAAGATTAAGACAATACTAACGTACCGTAAAAACCGCCTATCTAAACCTCCCCTTCCCTTCCTTCTATACAAGGATGCCTGTCGAATGAAAAGGGAGGCCAGTCGAGATTCCGTCGCCACGATATGCACCGACAAGTCTACAAAGCTTTTGTATCTCACCACTTTCCACAGTGTCGGGATACGCTAGACTAGAAACTCGCACTTGCATTTTCCAAGTCATGCTGCCCTTGCTCTTGCTCTTGCTCTCCCCTCCTTTTGTGTTTTGCCCCCGTCCTTCGCCCGCGCCTTCGGCCTTCCACGCAAGTTCTTCGACGATTACCAGTACCATACAAGCCGAATTATAGCTACGGATACTCGCTCCACAAACGATGAAGCTTGGTCACAAATCACAGCTTTGTTCGTTTCATCGCTCAGGTATCTAATGAGTTGGCCATCCCTTATCCAACAGTACGTATTTAGATACCACGTTTGGTAAATTGGCATCCAGCATGCCGGGAAGATTTTCGCCACCAAATGATAGAGGACAAATCAGGTCCGTGTCGGAAACAGACTCTACTGTAAGTTCGGTATCGAAAGTCTGTTGTCAAGCAGTACCATACACAGTTGTTCTAGATTTATCTATTCGCCATGGAGCTTTGAACCACACTGTTGGAGTACTAGTAGGGAATTCACTCGCCGTACGCACCAGAACGCTGGAACCGTGAATAGGATAATCCATCTATCGAGTTTCCAATCGCTTCCGTCGCCACCCTTATCCATTTGCCATTTCCAAAAGAACCCAGTAAAAAGCGCCGTTGCTGTGCCGGCTTGCCCGTACTGCGGTATGCTTCGTGTGAATTCGGAACCGAATCAATAGGTTTTTACAAGGAGAAGACAAAGACAAGAAGATTTTTGCCACATGCGATGATCGAAGAAGTTGCGTGGCGTCGTACGATCCAAGAAGAGGGTTGACCCGGTTATTACTCCCAAGTAACGCCGCTTGGGGTGAGAAGGTATTTTCTAACCAATCCAATCCCGTTACCCGTTCGCCGTGAGTGGCTGCCGAGCCAGTCCTGTACAGGACCCCATAGAAATGCAATGCCTATTTCGTGTTTCGCGTCGCTACCGATTGGCACAAAATATGGTTGTCGAACATCCAATCAATAGGCCTGAGGAAACGGCAGCTGCGCGCATGGATTCGGTGTATAATGCAGACCAGCGAGAGGGCCCAGCTGATGCTGGTCGGTCGGTCCATTTGCTTATAACAGTCTTTGCAACTGCTTCATGGCTTGGCGTACTGCGGGCCATGGATATTGCCGTCGATTGGAAAGATGCTGGTGCAACGTGTCCTTTCTCGTCGTTCATTTGGTCCTGCTCGGCATGGGCATGGGCATGGGGTATTTCGCCATGAGTTCTTCGATCTTGGGGACCAGTTCTGGAATGCGGAAAGGTTTGCTCACGACGTCATCCTGTGCCACGCATCCATGTCAGCTGTCTTCGTTCTGCTTCATGTACCCACGTATCTGATACGAGCGCTGCGGCCGAATGCAGGCGGCTGGCGACAACCGGTGAAGGTCATGCGCATGCGCATGCGCATGTGTGTGCATGCCGCATGAGTGCGCGAGCCGCATGAGATGGTGTGATGTTGGAGGCAGGCAATGCTACTTGCTACTCACCATTCCTGCGTCCAAAGCAGTCTGGATCTGCTCAGACCGCGCATTCGCCGTGACTGCGATAATGGGCACATGACCGATCAGCTTCCCTTGCGATTCGAGCTCACGAATCTTGCGTGTGCACGTCAGACCGTCCTGTCGAGCAATGTCAGTGCATGCGTGCGTTGCTTGGCCGTCGCTTTCGCGGAAGCTCTCACCATCACTGGCATTTCTTGGTCCATGAGCACAAGGCCAAGCTCGATCTGATCTCCCACCGTATTGCCGTCCCGCCAGTACGTCGACTGCATTAGCTTCTCCAACGCCTCACCGCCGTGATTAGCCACGTGAACTTCGGTGCCAATGTTCTTCAGCTGCTTCTGCAAAACCTTCTGATTCACGAGATTGTCCTCCACGATGAGCACCTTTTTCACGCCGGGCTTCTGGCCGCTTGCGCGGCTGTCGCTCTTGGCGGCAGACGCGCCCTTTGCCGCCGCCGCCGCCGCCGGCGGTGTAGACTTGTTCCTGAAAGCCGGAGCAGTCGAACGCTTCAGCCCAATGCCACCGTCAATGGTCTCTGCTGGTTGCGAGCTTCTTCTTGCTGCAACGTAGAAGGCGAACGTCGAGCCCTTTCCAGCTTCGCTGTCCACTCCGATCTCGCCACCTTGGAGTTCCGTCAACTCGCGGCTGATGAATAAGCCTAGCCCTGAGCCGCCATATTGGACATGGGTCCGCGGAGAGGCCTGCGAGAATCTTATGAACAATAGCTTCTTTTCTTCGGGACTAAGGCCACGGCCTGTATCACGGACGGCGAAATGGATGTAGAGCTTCTCGCCGTCTCCCCAGTCCTTGTCTGTCATGATGTCCTTGCTCTTCCTTCGTGTTGGGAAGTACTTGACTGGCGCATCATGCTTGTCGCTCGGTCGCTCAGTGCTAGCGCCGATGGTAACCGTGATTGTCCTGCGGCTCTCCGTACCAGTGAATTTGATGGCGTTGGTGGTCAGGTTGATGAGTACTTGCAGCACGCGACTCGGGTCAAAGCGCACCCAGTCAAGGTCAAGGTCTCGGAATGATTGGTCGACGACGAACTTCATTTGGATATCGGCAGCTTGCAGCTCGCCTTCATGCATCTTCAAAGCTCTCTGTACGACTGTGAGAGGCTGTGCGTCCACCGGTGTCACTAGTAGCAGCTGCGAATCAAGTTTCGAAAGCGTCAAAATGTCATCCACGATCCGCTTCTGGTGTTGACTGCATAGACTTATTGTTTGCGCAGCGTCCAGGCAGCTCTCAAGCAATGAGTCCGGAATGACCCTTTCGTCGCTTTGGCGAAACTTGGTCAATGAAGTCGTAATGTCGTCGGAGCATTGGAAGATCGCGGACAGCGGATTGCGCATTTCGTGCGATGTGATGTCGATGAAGTTTTCCTGCATGAAGGTCAGACTTGCTCATGGGCCACATTACGTGGGCAGTGCTCACCTGCTGCCGCTTTAGCTCAACAGCCTCTTCCATCTTTCGGGTCTGTATCCCTTCTGCCCATTTCTGTTGACTGATGTCTGTAATACTGCCGAAAATGCTTTTGAGTCTGCCGTCTTCATACTTCTCTGGATACCCAGAAAACAACACCCATGTGTCCCCACTATTGCCGTTGCGATCTCGCCACTGTGCTTTAAATCTGAACTCGCGAGACACGGACTTCGCGTCAACTGCAAGATCGCTCCACAGTCGCTTCACAAGATCCAGGTCCTCCGGCTTAACAGCATTCATCCACGTATCTGCCATTTCTGAATTCTTCGGCACACGCGAAATATCGTACCAAGTGTCATTGGCAAAGGTGATCCGTCCCTCGGAGCTTGCAATGAACATTCCTACAGGGGCAAATTCTGCCATGCGAGTGAATTTGGTCTCGCTTTCGATGGCCTCTTGCGTTCTGGCGGCCAATTGCTCGGACAGCTCTATTCGGTCCAGCGCAGCCAACTTTGCCGCTTTCTGTCCTCTTTTGATCTCTTCTTCGAACAATACCACCGACGCCAACGAGGTAGCAAGTTGCCGACTGAGAAGCTGTATGAACAAGCTGTAGTCATCATCGTAAGGCCTCCTCGGATTAACACCAAGAACCAAGAATCCAAGGACAACATCACCTGTCGTTGGATGTATTGGGCACACGACCACAGAACCCACAGGATCGCCGAAACCACGCCATTCTAAGCCGTCGAGGAGTGACTCCGGGAGGTCCCTGCTGCCGACTTCAAGCAGAACTGGCTTGTCTGTTTTCATGACCTCTCGGAAAACAGGTCCAAATCCTTCCATGCCGGCTTTGAGATCTATCTGATCTGCTGCAGCTTGGTGACCTTCGGGAACACCCAATGCTCCCTCCAGAATACACATTCGGTTATTACTAACCGAGTTTGAGTGTATGCTGCTGCTGTCGCTTTCATTCTCTTCCGTAACAGAATAGAGTAACAAGAATGGACTGTCGGACTCATTGACCTCGAACGATGCCAGAACTTGTGACCAGAAGCCCTTGACGTCTCGAGCAGAGGCCGTCCTCTCGCCGATCTCTCTCAAGGTAAGCATCCGCCTTTCTGCGACCTTCCGACGGGTTTTCTCAAATGCTGGGTTGTATAGGCCCATGACACTGCCGTCTCGCCCAACCATGGGAATTATAGACCATGAGAAGTACGTTTCTTCCAGAGAATTACTCCTCTTAATGAACAGACAATCATCATCCTTCATCGTCGCTTCGCCGGTGGTCTTAGCATGGGCGAAGACGTTTTTTACTTCATCCCAGATCTCTGCCCATGCGATCCGATAGCTCATGCCCATGAGATCTGGGTGTTTTTGACCAGCGAGGAGAATGTACGCTTCATTGTATATTGCAATTAGGTCCTCTCCCCAGTACATCGCAGCTGGATGCGGAGAAGCCATGATGAGATTGCACATTTGCCGCAAATCTGAGCTCCATGTTTCTATTGGACCAAGGCTTGTCGCGCCCCAATCTATGCTCCGTGCAAACTGGATGTGACGTGGCATACTGTCGGTAACGGGCAGTCGCGTCCAGTCGAAAGACGGCGCATCTGCCGCGACGGTAGATATCACGCTGTCGAGCACGCCATTGTCAGCAACGGGGCTCTCTTTTGCAGACGACATGGACAAAGTAGACATTGCACCGGGCGTAAGGACGTTCGATCCAGTGGTGGATGAGGTCTGTACGTACGTATGATGGGACGGTAACAGTTGTGTAGCCCCTGAAAGATCAAATTCGGAAGGCACTCGAAGCTGTGCATTGGCAGACAGTTCGCTCTCAGCCAGACGAGGTTCGATGGTGGACACAACTTCGGTGGTCATACTACTCGAGCCGTCCGAGTTACTCGTCTTTGTGTCAGGCACTGCTCTTGCAAAATAGTCAAAGGGTTCCGCCAGGGTTCCTGCACTCGTGGTGGCGTTCTCTGACGGAGGCACACTAACTCGCATAGCAGCTGTCTGAGTCGCCAAAGGTGAATTGAAAGCACCAGAGATGATACGAAGCCTCCTGCGAAGCGTGGAGCAGCTCCACGTCATGCTCGCGTAGTTGAAGGGTGGCAGACAGACATTGAGAGATTCTCCATTCACTGCCGCACTAAGCAGCCATGATTTGAATTGCAGAAACGTGTTCGGGCCAGGCGAAGAGTCGCCGGGAGTGTTCCCACTAATGAGCGACTGCATGCCATCGTAAGATCTGAGAGACTGGTTGGCAAAGACAGGGTGCAGTGGACTAGGGCCGTAGTTCGTGCTGTCGCCAAGATCAACGATGAATGTAGGTCTTTCATCCTGTTCCAGGAGTTCAATTATCCCGATATTGTTGAGCATACCGCTCATGCCACTCATTCCTTCCCGTGTGCCATTGCTGCCAGCATCAGGACTGCTGCTTCGCCCTGTCACGCTGCGATCCAAGCTCCTCCTGCTCTGCGGGTTGCTGGTTGGACCTAGCGATGGAGGCCCGAGAGCTACTGCAGGCGTAGTCACCGTCCCTCGAGCCAAGCTGACAGTCTTAACGTGGCTCTCCTCAGTGCGGGCCTTGCTGAGCATTCTTGCTGCCGCCTCGCTACTGGAGAAGCGCGGCGGCAGCTTTGGCCGCGGGCGGGGACTATTGCTGAAGAATAGTGGCGATGGCGGTTGCACAGCGTGACTAAAGCTTGGCGGGCCAAAGTTCTGGAAATCAAGAGTATGTTTCGTTCGCGGCCGTAACTTAGCACGCTTATTGACCGGCTCAGAAGATGTAGGTCCCAAGTCCTCCGGCGCGAGCTCTGGTGCAAATTTGCGCTTGATGCGATCTGGTGCAGATGCAGGCGGCGTGCCAGGCAAGAATGAAGGCGCGCGCTGGGAAGTCGGGGTCGTTTTGATGGCGCCGTTGCTGCTACTGGCGCTCCGAGTCTTTGTAGACGCCTGGGGGTTCGTGGTATGGTTGCGATCAGCGAACGATGTCCATATCGAGGGCGACACCGTGTTCTCCTTGCCCTGTTGCCGCGTAGGTGTATTCGGATGCGCTCTTGTCAGCTGTGATGGCGCTGGAGCCGGTATAGGTGTAGCTAGCGCAGCGGCACCAGGGTGGTTTTGAGCAGCAGCGACAGCGGCTTTGACAGTGTTGTGTTCGAGCCAGTCCGGAGTGCTCTGTCGGCGAAAGGGCGACGAGGTACGCGGTGCGCGCAGCGATTCGAGGGGCGCCGGGCCTGGTGCTATTGATTTTCTTGTAAGGCTGCTTGATGTAAATATTGAGGGCTTGTTGTTCATTGCCGGCTCGATCGCATGTCTGCCTAAGCCAGGGCTAGTGTGCTAGTACTCAGGATGAATCGCGGCTGCTGTTGAGATGGACGTGCGGTCACGCATCATTGAGACAAAAGGGGATAAGGGACATGTACTGTATGGAAGACGGTGACGGTGACGGTGACGTGCCGTGCAAACGTCGACGTAGGTGCATGTGTTGTCCGAGACGAGACGAGCACATGGCGTGGAACCAATTACCTGGGTCACAGTGAGGCTCTCCGCAAAGGATAGACCCGCTTCTACATATGTACGCAGCAGACTGCCCCTGTCTAGGTTTAGCCATTGGGCGTGGTATCGCGACCGTCGATCCTGCTGGTCAAGCAGATCTGCCCTTATGGCGCTCAGGAACACCGCGTGTGCGCCGACATGCACCGACAGCGATAGCAATGCCTGAAGAAGCATTGATTGAACAATTCATTATGGTTGTGTCACTTGGTAGAACTCTGCAGGGTATGGGAGCCTCTGTATGGAAGCTCGAAGCTCGACGCATTGAATAATGTTGGGAGCCGAGGATAAGGTCGCGTGCCTTGCTGCTGTACCAGGGAATTGTATCACGTGGAATACATGGAAAGTAGATGTTCCTGTAGCATGCAAAACGTGGTATAGTTGCTGCGGTGCTGGTATCATGCTGTTCTTCTGATGAATGCGAAATGCGAAATGCTCCCACCTCACTCATGCTATACCAAAACTCTGGACTCGCCATTCTTCAAATCGACCCAATTGATGTCGTCGAAACTGTCCAAGACTTTGCCAATCTCTCCCCCGACTGCATCTTCGGCTCCATGCTCACGCTGGCTCCGCTCATGCTCAAGAGCCTCCTTCAACGTGATCACGTCCCGTTGGAGGAACCACGCGACAAGTCCACCACCACGCTTGATCTCGTCGTGTGTCCCGAGCCAATAGCGTGCATTGAGCGTTCTTTGCGCCTTCAGCCCGTTCATAGCTCCTAGATTGAGTTGCAGCGCAGTCCTCCCAGTCGCCGTTCCTACACGCACGTCGTGTAGCCCATGCAAGAAGGCGAGCGTCGTCAATGCCGGAGACGCCTGAGGAATAATCGCTAAATCGCCATGCTGAACTCCATGCGGAGTGTATATGATCACTTCGGCATGTTCATCATCTTCGTCGGGTTCTATCGCAGAATGATGCCGCTTTCTCGTGCCATTTTTGCCGCTGCTATTCACCTTTAGCAGTTTAGATTTGCCATTGCCATGTCTATTGTTGAATGCGATCATAACGGCGGCGTGGTAGTAGAGCACATCGTCTGTGGACAATAGCCTGCTTATCCCGATCCACTCTGGCAATGGCGGCGTGCTCGTGCTGCGCCAGTCCGTGTCATCCCCTTTGCCGAACACGTTGACCACATTGACAGAGCGGAAGTGCTTCCAACTTTGTATTAACCTTGCCGCTTCTCTGGCTGCAAATACTGGGACATCGGGATGTATCTCCAGAAGAGTCTCTTTGTGGCAGTGGTCGGTGAACTCGTGCGACACGACCGCAGCATCAATCAGAGTCTTCTCCCTTCCAAGCTCTTCTTCTGTGTTAAACGTCGCTTTGCGACCAAGATGCGACCGCGGACCAGACGCCAAAATCTCTATTTCAAAGATGAGTTCATCCAAGGCCCCGATAGACGATACAGCACTGGGTGTAGCATGGAATTGCTGCGAAAACCAACTGGCTACATCGCTCTGGCCACCCTGTAGCCAAGGATCAATCAAAATGTTGTAGTAGAATCGCGCGCCTCGCTTTACGGCATTGGCGGGTCGAGGTATCTGCAGAAGCCACGATGTATCTGCGTTTAAATGGTGAATGACAGGGCGTCGACTCGAAAGCGCATCCTGGACAGCGCTGCGCAGATCGGACTGCAGCTGTCGTGAGGCATCGTCGACCATGCTTCGATTCTAATTCCTACTACATTGCGGGTTGTCGCGCAAATTGTAGGTCTCTGGTCGCGTAGCGTAGCTCCAACGCCGGTGCCAGAGCTCCGTTGATGCAAGATGCGCGAGGGAAGAAAGATGACGACGATCCGACGGTTGAATGCTTGTACACTCCTCCCGTGGCCAATCACATACAGGCGCCTCACTTCAATCGGCAAGCACTCTACGACCCTTGCCCGCAGAGTCTACGGCTGACTTCTTCATACGTCGCAAATGATGGTGTATCCCTGCTTTGCGACGTTTTGCTGCCCAAGACGCCAGCTATCAATACCTGTCTCACCTTAGCAAAGCCTGTGTCACTCATACTAGCCGGGACTGGGACTTCGGGAGATGCTTCGATGAGCTGTATTTGCCCAGGACGACGTGGAGAGCGCAGGCGCCGGCATAGACTGCAACTGCTACACTTTCCCGACTTCTCTTTCTCCTATTCTCAACAATCTCGGCTGGACCATTGGGCCCAAGACGACATTTAGGAGGGTCCACGGCCAGCAAACTTACGGAGGCACACCTTCCACCATCACACAGCCCGCTGTTCACGGACAAGGAGCCATAAAAGTGTCAAGAGCACGAAAACAGCTCCGGCCGCGAGTCGGGTGGTCGCCATGAGCGAGAAGAAGTATCAGCCGCCACCTTCGGCACCCCCAAGCTATCGCAGAGCGCAATCAGGTTACGAGAATGGGCAAGACAATCGGCAACAGGATCAATCTGCTCAGCAGCAAAGGTACGCATGGCCTCTCGTTGTTGGATCATGGCATCCAGACATTCCCAGATATTGGCCATGTCCCTCGTTTTTCCACCTTCGTTCTCGACAAATCAGTGATGCACCTGAATGCAGTCTCTAATTTTGATGGCAGAGCCTCGTGGAGTGTTGGAGGCGGACCAAGCCAACAGAGTTCGAATAATCCCTACCGAGAGCCTCACTTAAGTATTCCTCAAGGATTGCGGCCTTCTAGCATTAATGTGCCTAACACCGCCTCCCGAGATCAAGAGCAATATCAACCACCTCCTGGACCCCCGCCTGGTCACCAAGACGTCAACATGGACGATGAGCAGTACTCGCCGCCTGCAGGTCCCCCTCCAGGTCGGACAGCTCCTGGCTTTCAGTCGACTCCATCTCCTGCGCCCTTGCCTACCCCTAGCAGTGGAGAGGCAGATGTTGCGCCTCCAGAATACGACCCGTGGACGGGGGCTGATGACAGATTGAGCCTGCCTCCTTCGTTCTCGGCATCGATGGCCGACGAACGGAGCCCGGCAGCAAATGCTGACTTTGATGACGCCAAAAGAGCACATGCCTGGTGTGCTGAAACGCCTTTATGGACTGCTCATGAGCATCCATCCATGTTAGTGTCCCGAATTGATGCTGGCGATTTGAGACTCACTGTGCCACCAAACACCACGGACGTCACACAGTATCAGCCAGCAATGGGCACCAGCTATGTGAGAACGGGTAGCGGCATTAGTGACACCATCCTGCTCTCAGACGTGCCCATCTATGCTGCACAACATCATACGCCTCTTGCAACAGGTCAGCAACGAACGATTTATTTTGAAGTCAAGATCATGGGGGTGGGTGATCGATATGGGACGGGAAAGAATGTTGAGTCTGGCATCGCGATCGGGTTTGTCGCTCCTCCGTATCCTGCCTGGCGATTGCCAGGATGGCATCGAGGCTCATTGGGCGTCCACTCAGACGATGGCCGACGCTATGTTGATAACAGCTATGGTGGTGTCGAGTTTGTACCAGCTTTTGGCAAGGGTGATGTTGTCGGCATTGGCATGACATTTCATCCTCCCGTTCATGGCCGGATCACCACGGGTTGCGACGTCTTCTTCACGAGAAATGGCAAACGAGAGAACGGGTGGGACTTACATGAGGAACAGCCGAAGAATCAGGACGCTGGCGACATCACAGGGTTGGAAGGCGAGCATGACTTGCTTGCGGCGGTTGGTGTTTTTGGCAGTGTGGAATTCGAGTGCATTTTCAACCAGGAAAACTGGTTGTTCAAGGGATGATTAGAAGGCAGCATGATACCCACCGCATTGTGCATGGCGTTGCTGGATATTGCTTCGGCTATCGTTGACGAAGGATGTCAAGTCGCACGACAATGCTACCATATCACTACATGTAGATGGGTTGCTCGGGACCTGAAGGCGGCCACGCTTCTGAGAGGTCAGGTTGAGATGACGCCAACATACAGTATGGCGAAGGGAAGTGGTACGATTTGTCGAGTGCATTCGGTCGAAGATGCGGCTGGCATATCCTTGCGGTGGTCGGTCGAGGAATGCTGTGTTCTAACGCGTTTCCGTTTCCGCCCGCTGCCGTTGCCGTTGCCGTTCCAATCAAGCCACGCCGAGCCATCGTCATCGCAACCGCAAGCACAACCTCCATTAGAATAAACATTCAAGGATGTCTTGTCATACATACATTTGAAGAGTCAGCACAACAGCGTGCAGCGCAAAACTCGTGAATCGACCAATCGCCAGCGTGGCGGCAGCATTACGATCAGACACAACGCGCTGCCCCTCGCAGTAGTAGTGTAGGAAGCAGAAAGTCTCGCTGGACCGCGGAATGTGCTGTACGAAGCTTCACGCTTGCAGTAATCGCCTTGCAAGTCTGTGCGTCGCATGTCGTCATCACATGCAGGCGCAGGCGCGTACAAGTTGAAGAGCTCTCGCTCTCTTACTGCCACTGCCACTGCCACTGCCACAGGTACTGAGCTCACTCCTGCCTCGATCAAGGTCTCCCTACATACGACCATCTACGAAATCAACTCACCCGCTACACGGTAAATCACCACCACCGCAGCAATGGCAATGAAGGAGATGCTTGGACTCGCCCTGCGCGGCCTCGAATTCCTCTGGGCCCTGCTCATTATGGCCCTCACTGGTAACATGATCGCGATGGGTGCTGACCCGGCTGTCGTCAACTATACCATGTTCTGCGCTGCGTTCGCAATGCTTTGCCTGCTATATCTGATCCCGGCAACTGCGAACGACAAGTACGCCTTCGTTGGATTCCTTCCATTGGCCCTTGACGGTCTTTTGACTCTCTTCTGGTTCTGCGCTGCCGTCGCGCTCGCAGCTAAACTCGGTGTTCACAGCTGCAGCAGAGACGTGAGTTTTTCTCATCGTTTCGCGACTGAGAGGCGCCATCGACTAACGATTTATATAGAGCTACGTCAATACCAACAGCGTCATCCGCGGCGCAAGCAGCCCGCACAGCGCGTGCCGGGAGGCTCAGGCATCGACCGCCTTTCTGTGGTTCGGCTTCGCTGCCTTCGTCGGATCCCTCGTCATCTCCGCGACCGGAATGGGAGGAGGTGCATCACGAGGTGGCATCCGCAGAGGCCCAGCCATGAGCCAGGTCTAAGCTTCAGGCTGTGCACCAGGAATCACCGAATCCCAGCAAAGCAGTGAAAGAGATGCATTGCAACTGTATATAAACACCATGCTGCGTCCAACTACCACGCAATCTGCGGAACGTTGGTCGCCCATGAACTAGTTGGTTATCTTACCGATGATTCTGTACAAAAGGGATATGGAGAGACGATCAAATGAAAGACAGGATGGAACTGTACTGTAATGACTCTCGTATCTCTTGTTGGAGACTGGAACGCGTTTCAGCGAGTAAGCAACTGCAGGCGGAGCGTTCGCTGGCGTTCATATTCCCATAATGTGTACTGTTCTGAACACCAGATGTCAATAATATCATAAGTTACCAACAATTTCTGCCATCATCTTTCATCTATGTGTCTGTTGCTGCCGCGCCATGTACCCGCACTTGGAAACTGGCAAGAGCTCCCGCCGCCCAGCCCAGCCCAGCCCCGCTCCTTTTCCAGCACGGCGACTACACCCGGCTGTCATGAGTCAAGACACAATTCAGACGCAATCAACAACTCCTACATACATCAAAGATCCTTGAAAAGACCGGAACCAAAAAGGAGGAAAAAAAAACAATGATCAGCGGCATAGCACACATCAATCTCCTAGTCCCACCAGGCACTCTCGACCAAGCCCACGAATTCTATGGCGAAACGCTAGGTCTATCAGCACGAGAAGTCCCAAGTTTACAAAAAGGCTCGTTAGCATGGTACGTTTTAACGGATGTATGTCCATTCATTCACAAGTACGCATAAGGCTGAGATAGAGTACAAGGTTTGATATTGGGTCTTCGGGACAGCAGGTAAAGCATACCATACCATACCTCACTCACTCACTTGGCGAGGACGAGGGGAGTTTGTTGATTTTGAATCTTGTATAGGTGCATATAGCATTCGGACCAAACGCCGACCCCGAATCCTCGCGCCATCCATGTTTCAGAATCTCCTCAGCTGAAGCTCTCGTCACTCTCCGGCAGAAAATCTGGGAACATCATGAACGAGGCGATTCCGCGGCTCCGCGAGAAGCGGATAGACCTGGAGAAGCAGATAGTGGAGCGAAAGGTGTTGAGTATCCTTCAAGATTTTTCGCGAGGGATTATGCTGGGAATCGATTGGAGTTTAGTCTGTAGTTGTAAGTAGATTATGATTTGCGATTTCTATGCTATGCTTTGCTTTCTGGATTTCTTCTGCGAATTCAACCCTTGAGACTGCTCCAGATATGTACACTGTTTGCTAAGACGAGAGCGATGCTGCTGGTGGGGATGTCGGATTTGTGGAATGGACGAGCGCGAAGTATGTCCCAGACTGGGAAGTTGTCGCAGTAGATCATGGCTGATAGTATCATGGTTATGCGAACCGTCCAGTCGAAGACGGCGACGAGGAGTGGTATGCCGAAGGTTATGCGCTCTGCGATGAATAATTTGACGACTGTCTTCCAGTAAAGGCTGCTATCCTTATGTGCCGTCTGGATGAAGCGATCGCATTCCGAGAATTTGAAGGATCGACTGTCATGTGTGCTGTACTCAACATCGAGTCTGCTCTCGTCGGTCGGATAGCTGGCTACAGCAGGAGGACATCGTAGTCGGCGAAGGATATTCCAACGCAAATCGTGAAGGACACCCTTTCTGCGAGTAGATTTTGCTTTATGTCGGTCTGTGTGCTTCATGCAGTCGAGTAGAGTGGGCAGTCCTTGAGCGCCATCAATGACAATGGTTCGATTCTTGTCATCGGTTCCAAGACATTCGCGATCGAAAGCCTCTGCAGCATGCGCGTAATGAATGAAGCGACTGTAAAATGCGGGTGAAAGCACTTTCAAAGTCATTGTTGTCGAATGATCCTCCTCGTATGTGAAACCCGGAGAGTACAGGACGATCTCTTCTCCACTATTGTGCGGCGCTTCGTAGATCACGCGTAGAGGCTTGTCGCCATTCTCAACTGCGCTGGTCAGGAAGGAGCGGAAGAACTGTTCCAATATCGTCTCTTCTTTCGTGAAATCTCGACCTATGCTTGCCTCGGTGACCTCGGGCCTGTACCAGACATGGAGCTTCCTTTTGAAGAACAGCTTTTGTGCTTCCCATACGATTCTCGGAAAAGTGGCTAGTCCGACCCACCACCAAGCGAGAATAAATCTGGCCAGCTCGATCGTTGTGACGTTGCTTGGCTCTTCTGGCATGCCTTCCGACCAGACGCGAGCTACAATCTTTGCGTGTTCGCCAGACGAGCGAAGCACAATTGTGTTGTTGATTTCGACGTGACCCTTTTGCTCAAAAGCTGCAAGTGGATCTACTGCTTGCAGAGAGTACGATCCCTTCCGGCTGTTGAACGGCGAAACATGAAAGTCTTTTGCCCACTCATCGGAGAATGTGAATGACCGCGCAGAGTCCCCTCCTGTGCTTGGCTCTGTCTTCAACAAGTACATGCGACGTTCGCCGAATGTGTTGTTGACTTCCAGGATCATGTATTTGAGTCGTGTATCCGAGTCGTAGAGGTACCAGAATGAGACCGGGTTGAAGCTATAGCCAAGAAAACGTGGCGCCGTGACAAGATAAGCAAAGGCATAGTCTCTGTCGGTAACGCGTTGTGCGTGTAAAAAGCGCTTGAGCTTTTCTCCCAGTCCAAGCTCAGGACTTCCGCGGTTGAGGAAATCGGCTGATCGCACATCGAACCAAGCAGGCCGCTGACTGTCGATCGACAACACATTGGCCACTCGGCCTTGAAGACCCACCGGAACTCCAACAAGAAGGTAAGTATACGAGAAGGAGTGCTTTCGAGGGAACAGTCTGGAATGCGTGGTACGGCTTGGAATGAGCAGTGGTGGAAGAAGTGATTCTTCGATGCGTTGCTCCCGGACTGGCTCCTCCTCCTCCTTGTCTTTGGACTTCAGATGATGACCGCGAAGAACGATGGAGCCTGCAAAGCCCCCGCAGATTCCTAGAAGCGCGAATACCTGGAAGTAAAGCAGTAAAGTCTCATCTCTGAGATCCAATGCTTGAAGTGAAGGCAGGGACCAGGATCTTGTGCAGAAAAGGCCATATGCATTGTGGAGCGCGAGAAATAGAGCGAGATCCTGGACCCACGTGAGGTCACGGCGTACTATGCGAACCATCCATAATGGTTGGAAGAGAAGCACTCGTGCTGCGAATGTCTTCCGTGGTTCTGTGAATATGCTCCAAAGCAGGGTAGTGAATGTCCAGGCGAGCGTGACAATTGGTCCAGTGGGGATATCGCATTCCACCGCCGCACGGCCTGGGCTGCCTGCAAGCATGTAGGCCGTGGAGGTAGGAATATAGCGTCAAGATCAGGCTGATGTGCACCAGATTGAAGATGAGAGAGAAGCGTCGATGATGATGGGGATTTCGTCGGATCTTGCTTGCCGACGCTTGGGGCTTCGGCAGCGCTCTCCAAGACTCCAACCACGACGCCGTAGAATATTCGAAATCCAAGTCGACTGCAGCAGAATTGCATCGCTCAGCATCAGCACGACCAGCACGGCTCCGTTGTCGCTCACGCCCTGCCTTCCGTCCACCACCCTTCGATCCGGCCTGAACCATCGTCCTGTATCTCTACGCGTAGGCGGTCATGGGCAGGCAATCAGCCACAGACAGAAAGACCGGGGAACAATAGAATAGCCAGCTAGCATGTGGAATGAATGAAGATTCCAGCAAATGGCCGCTGCGGAGAACAGCAAAGAAGGAAGCCTCTGCCATGTGTGGACTGCGCCAAACGCACCCGACACGGTGCATGAAGAATCCCGTCAACATGCGTTGTTCACGAATGGAACTGTCTGAGTAGAACTACTGCTCCGTCTGGACAGCTACACCGATGTCTGCACAGCGTACAGCTGCAGCCAAGTGCAAACTGCGCACGACCGCGCTGTGGGTCGATCGTGTTGCTAGATACCTTGCATGACGACTTCGACAACTGCTTTGATTGTGGTGTCATGCGCTTTACCCTGGCTGTACAATGACAGGCCGATTAGAATAATGGTGCTCAGTGTGTTCGTCTTCCAAGCACGCCATCTTTTCACACATCGGGGCCCTTTGAGCACGGAAACACACGCAGCAGTATTCGCCAAATGGGTCACACTCGGCTGTAGCAAAGAGGACGCACCGGGCGTTCCTCACTGCTCACAGGCTCACACAAGATCTCCTCTTGCGTCAAACCCCTAGACGAAGCCAAGAATCCAGGATCAAGTCGTGCGCTAGAACTAGGTTCCCATGCTGGGACGTGTCCCTTTGAGATAGAACTAGGTACTCATCCGCGAAGAGTATACGGAGTATTATTGGCATCAAGCCCACGAGGTGTCGCGCTAGGGCACTTATTATTACGAGCAGTCTTATCACACTAGCACCGCTATGCGAAGTCAAGCCTGATCATTTCAGGATGCAGGTCCCATTCTGCGAATCTGTGCTGCCACAATGGGTCGCAAGTGTCATGGCCCGGTGACTGCGCCGACTGGCCACTCCTTATTATTACGCTGGTCCCTCGAATTGCCCAACCGGTAGTTTAGAAATACCTGGCAACTTACAGACCACCACAACTATTTATAATTATCATATGTAGGAACACCACGCGTAATTGACAAGGATGAAATCATGCGCTGCGCGCATCCTGGGCCAACGTCCGCACAAGACGGTCAAGAATCAAGATCTTGCGCGAGGCCATCCATCCTCGGCGCGGACTTCGCAGACCTCCTCGAGAAATAACTTTGTGATCTTTGGCGTATTATCAGATAGACCAGTGGAACACGTCAGCACGGCAGCGGTTGGCAATCACCCGAGCACATCACCGCTTCCACATGTCTACTTACAACTAACTGCCACTGTCGCATCGCCAGAGTCCGCTGGATACCACACTCGCTTCCTCCCCCTCAAGCAAGCGCTTCAGAGCACTGGAGTACATTTGGTGGACGCGCTTCTAGGAGCCTTTGGTCGTCTCAATCGCAGCACTTTCTCATTCTATCCCTTCTGCTCATCCAGGCCCATCAGCTATTCTAGCATGCGTGGTGCTGCGCTCTTCGCCCTTTTGGGCCTTGCGAATGGCCTCCTTATGGAATCTCTCTCTCTCACACCGGAAGGCTGGAGACAAATACGACTTCCGTCCTCAGAGCAACGCCTTCATCTACGAATCGCAATGACAGCGCCGAGTCCTGGTTTGCTAGAGCAGAAGCTGTACGATGTATCAGATCCGACATCACCAAGCTATGGTCACCATCTCAAACGAGACGAAATCCAAGAAATACTCAGGCCGTCGCCGGAAGCGACCGCAGATGTGGTCAAATGGTTGGTAGGATCTGGAGTCGGCCCGGACGCAATTGCAGAGGAAGGGGAGTGGATCAACTTCGTTGCACCTGTGCACATCGCCAATGACCTCCTAAACACATCCTTCGCCGTCTATCGAAATACCCATGGACTGGAGCTTGTGCGCACATTACAGTATTCAGTTCCGGGCGAACTCCACCGCTACATCGATATGATCCAACCTACGACTCGTTTTGGCGAACTGAAGGCGCAGCGCAGTCTTATTCACGCCGCAGTGTCGGGAGAGCCTCCAGGACCTCGATTGATGACGTTGAACGGCACTTCTGTAGCTTCTGCGTGTAAGAACGAGACCATCGACCGTGATTGCTTACGTGTTTTGTACAACATTCCAGAGAACACCGATTTGGACAATGCAACTTCGGGCTTCATGGCATTCACCAACTTTCTGGACCAGTATCCGAGGTATAGTGATCTCGACGAGTTCGTTCAGCATTACTTTCCAGAGGCGCAGGGGGCGTCATTCTCGTGGCAAAGTATCAACGGTGGGAAGCTCGAGCAGAACTCAACGAACGACAGTAGCGAGGCGAACTTGGACGCGCAGTATCTCCTCGCAACAGGGTGGCCAATCCACATGCATGCGTATTCCGCAGCCGGTCTCGGTGAGCTGTTGCCTGACCTCGATCAGCCAAATCAGACGAGCAATCAAAACGAGCCGTTCTTAGACTTCCTGACCTACGTTCTTGCCCAAGATGACAAGGACCTTCCTCACACAATCAGCTCATCATACGGAGAGAACGAGCAGACAGTGCCTTTGCCGTACAGAAAGAAAGTATGCGAGTTGTTTGGACAGCTCGGTGCTCGAGGCGTTTCTGTGCTCACGGCTTCTGGAGACATTGGACCAGGAAGCAGCTGCGTTACGAACGACGGTAAGAACACGACACGCTTTCAGCTGATCTTCCCTGCCTCTTGCCCCTATGTCACAGCTGTTGGCGGCACGAGAGGTGTACAGCCCGAACGTGCCGACCCCAGGTCCACCGGCGGCTTCTCGGATACCTGGTCTCGGCCAGCATATCAGGATGAGGCAGTTACTGCATACCTCTCCAAGATCGGCGACACATTCGAAGGTCTCTACAATGCAACTGGTCGCGCGGTTCCTGATATCGCAGCACAAGCATCCGCATTTCGTGTTGTTAATCAGGGTCAGGACATCCTTATCAGTGGAACTTCTGCTTCAGCGCCCGTTGTTGCTGGAGTTGTGGCATTGCTCAATGCCCAAAGGCTGAAGGCCGGCAAACCTACTCTGGGCTTCTTGAACCCTTGGCTTTACAGCTCAGGCTACCAAGGCCTGACCGACATCGTCGATGGTCGGTCTAGCGGCTGCACTGGTGAGAGCCGGTCTTCGCACTTGCCGACAGCTCATGTGCCTGGTGCGTCCTGGTAAGTGAAGGTCATCTCGCAAACCTGCAAGATTTGCTCATTGCTTACCTACAACAGGAATGCAACTAAAGGGTGGGATGCAGTGACGGGGTTTGGAACTCCTAATTATGAGAAGATGCTGCCTCTTGCATTGGCTTGTTGATTGGTGGCGCATTGCATGGATGGCACAACTGATTTGAAAAGCCACCGCTACGATGGAGACAGAGGACCTGAGAACAGATCAACGAGCGCAGGCGGCAGGATATCTGCTTGCGCTCAGCTCAGCTCAGCGCATCGCCCACTTCCATATCTCGTAAAGAAAGTCACGACTCTGGTTGTGCTGATTGAGTGAAGCTCTTGATGAGAGCGTTAGCCCGATTCATACATGCAGTGATCAGCGAGGTCAATACATTCAGTAGAGTCCTTGATTCTTCGCACTAGCTGCAACCAGGCTCTTACGAGGCAGTGCTCCTAGACCCGCATGGAGCTGTGTAGCCGGCTATCTCAATGCACGGGCCTGGGACCTGGCTCGGTGTGTGCTATGCTGCACCATCAATTGCTCGCCCTCACTACCCCAATCGTTCACCAATCTAACGTTCTGAGCCAGATGCTCCACACTGTCCTTGATCTCCTGTATGCCGGTCACATTCAGTGCCTGATCTTGCTTCAATACATGTATGTACCAATCCCAGGCTCTCCAGAAGCACGCATTCGATGCGATGCTGAACTCCTCGAATTTCCACTCCGCAACGCATTGAAAACACAGGACGTAAATTTGAGACTTTTGCATTGGCCTTCGAACAGTGTGAGAAAGTCCTCGACTCGGAACATGCCGATGGAATCGATTCTTTCGCATAACTAAGTTTCTGGCAAGCGCGACCATCTCCCTCTGAGGCGCTGGGTTGTAGTAATCGTGGAAGTCCGTTCAGAGACTAAGCTTCAGGCCGCGCAATTCGGGAGCGGCTTTCATCAGATTCGCAGTCCACTCTGTCGGACTCCAGGCGATGCCATCCGGACTCCAATTATGAGAGATGATTCTACTGGCTGACAGCTCGAGGGACTTGGGATGACGAAAGGTGGCAGTGAGTCCAGAAAGAAAAGATCCATCGAGAATCGAAGCTTGCAAAGGAGTCGTTCTCCTCGCTGCCCAGGAGCACGAGCTTCGGTGCTGAATATTCGGACAATGAGACAGCTTTAAGCAAGCCATTTCTAGCAACGACGCATCTCGATAGCTTGCGGTGAGGGACAAGTATGTGTTCATGAAAGGTTTTCATTTGACCGACCGACCTGCCAAAGCGTCGAAACCATGCAATGATGTCTATTTCCCCGTTAACACCTCGCTAATGATCCCTCACTTCGGCCACAAAGCCATGACTCCCTCTCCGATCTGAGGACCGCGAGATCTAAGTTCTCTTCTTCATGCGCCAGATCTTGGTGCTGCGGAAGTATTGCCAGGATTCTGCGAACTACTCGCCGCATGCGCTGCAAACAATCTCTCATCGTCCGCGTCACAAACATATGCCTCTCCATAGCCAGGCGGCTTAAGCCCTGCTTGATCTCTTGATAGAGTCCGGAGCGGTACTGCGGGAGCATTCGTTGGCGCTTGAGCGGCATTCTCCTCGTCTCTCGGTTTTGGCATGTATGGTGGCGGCGCTTCTCCATGCTCGTTCAATCCCTCCTCGTGTCCAACATCTGTGGAGCGCCATCTTCCCTGCCAGTAACGTCTTCTTGCCCGTGAGGGATCCCACGATCCGATGTCTCTCTCGATGGCATGATCTCTGTGATGTTGTGCCATCATGCTCAGCTTCTTCTTCCTACGCCAGAACATGAGTGCGCCGAGCGCTACCACAATTACTATCAGGACGAGGAAGCCAAAATAGTACTGTGCCAGCCCTCCAACGTCGCGGCTATCATTGTTGTTGTTGCTGCTGTTCGCCTTGTCGGTCGATGAAGGAAGGCCATGGGTGGAAGCTGTTGCGAAAGGATTCGAGTTGGTATCAGGGGCGGTAGGAGTGGCGGACTCGGACTGGGCGCTCGTGAGAGCGAAAGGCAGTAAAGAGAACGCGAGCAGAAGCCGCATAGTACTGTCCATCTTGACGAAACTCGAGATGCCAACTCTAAACGTAGGTTGCCGAGATAGAGGAAGCTTGTGTTGCCACACAGGAGGTGTGATACGGACAAGGGATGGGTGCGTTCAAGTGTGCCGTATGATCATATTTGATGTATGCATCAGATCATCATGTAGCCATGTTATGCGTCCTGTGCATGCTGAACACGTCGGCCAAGTGATAGCAGAGCAGTGGATAACGGAGGAGGTTGGAGGTCGGATCTCCAAGAGTTCACACGCAATGTGTACGCGGCCGCACATGCAGCTGCCTTACTAATCAGCATGTGCAAGGATCCGCCCGAGACGCGAGCTCCGCCTTCACTAACTACTATCCTTGCAACACTCACATTCCTCGTTTCTACTGCCTTGAACATCCAAGATGCCTCGCGCTATCCACGGTAAGAGCTTCCGCTTCCTTGCTGTCACCAAAAGCAACACTCAAACCACACACAATGGAGGGAAAAGCGAAAACTGATTCGTGCCACGCCAGGCATTTTGGTGAAATGCGATCCTTCCATCAAGGCGATTCTCGTCAAGATCAACGCCGAGAACAAACACGACTTCATCATCGAGGAGATCGACGATGAGCATGTCTTGGTGAAGAGTGCAAAACACGATGTGCTAAAGAGTTTGCTCAAAGATGTCAGTATTTGTGATGTGGCCCTTTTGAGACAAACGCTAATCCGCAGCGTAGTATCTGAAAGACGCTGTCCGAGAGCCAGAAGAAAGCTCCGAAGAGGACTAACAGGCGTCTCAAAACCTCTATATGAGAATTATTAGACACAAATCGGTTTCTCTAAAATCGCGCGCGAGTCAAAGCATTGGTTTAGTCAGACAGCATCTTGGACGACAAACACTAGGGAAAACGGCATCGCGCGATATGCTCCATATCAACCCATACCCATGTGGATATCGTATGAATTCTGGCCGCTATAGTCCTGATTACTATTCACAAAGGATCCAAGATGCCCACTTCATGCCCTAGGCCGCTGCAACCACTACTCGCTCTGCTCATGCTCATACCCTTTACATATCATCGCTATTCGGCATAGCAACCTTCTGGCCAGCACCCCCGATCGACGATACCCAGCTCACGCGGTCCTTCGCATACAACTCGACAGCTGGCTTCGCATCCTCGTGCGCGGACGGGTCGTCAAGTGTACCGACCTTGATGATCTTGTTGTCGCCGAAAGACGCTCCTCCTCGCACCATTGTCGAGCCACAATCTCCGCAAAAGAAGCTGGTAATGGGATTACCCGAGTCTGCAGTTACAGTGTGCTCCTTGGGCGTGCCCTTGGTCCAGGTCAAGCCATCGCCTGGGACGATGATGTTGGTGGAGTAAGTGGAACCCGAAATTTTGCGGCAGTCTTTGCAATGGCAGAGGGCCTACGACGTTCATCAGTTTCATCACGTCGCAGAGAGAGAGAGAGAGCGCGCAGTGCACTCACCTTGGCTTGAGGCTCCCCAGTGCTCTTGTATCGCACGTTTCCGCAATAGCAGCCGCCTTCAGACATGATTGTTGAATTCCAAAAGAAATTGTTGAAATCTGATTGGATGAGGAATTTGAGCACCTTGATGGCCAAGAGGATGGATGTTTTGGTTGTACGACTTCAGCAGCAGCTACTTATGCTTCTCTCTCTAGTCGCATCGTCATTGCTTCTTGGACTACGACCTGGGCGGGGTTGGCCCACGACAGACAGCATTGACAAATACTCTAGTGGTCTCCAGAGCCGAACGCGGAAAGGCCACCCGCCGGGACATCACCGGTCCAGGTTTGGAAATGCAGATCATCTCTAGACGGAAAACAAGTGACGATGATGCTGTAGAGCTCTCGGTTGGCGTGAGCGATAGCCGGCAAGCAAGAAGGAAGGAGGGGCGGAGGGGCGGAGGGGCAAGCAGCAGCCGACAAATTTTCGAGGAGAAAAAAAAAGACTACAGCGCAGGCACAGCATGTCCATCACCTCTCTGATCACTCCCAGCACTCCAAACCCCAATCTGCTCCACAGGATCCACCGTCCACTGAATAAGCTGACCACGTCCAAACAACGCGCGTTCCAGACCCTTCACAACTTGCACCTTGTGCCCCAAATTCCTCATCCCAGCAACAGCCTCTTCAGAAATCCCTTCCTCGAGATACACAGTCCTATCCATCACATCCCCAGCATCAGGCATCCCAGCCCCGATACAAATCCTCGGCGCATCAAGACTAGCCTGCGCATCGAGTCCGAAAACAAGTTGATTCAAAAGAACTTGGACATGGCCCTGCGGCTGCATGAAGCCTCCCATGACTCCGTACACGCTATGTAGACTCTGATCACTGATGTTCGTGACCAGAGCCGGGATGATGGTATGATAAGGTCTCTTGTTCGGCGCGAGGACGTTAGGATGGTTTTCGGGCTGGAGAGCGAAATTCGCTGCTCGGTTTTGCAGTGTGAAGCCACAACCTTTGGGAATGATACCTGTGCCGAAACCGCCGTAATTACTGTTGATGAAGGAGATTCCGTTGCCTTCGCTGTCTGTGACGCAGAAGTAGACTGTGTCGGAATGATTGTGTGCTGGAGAGCCGTGCTCGAGGTATTCGCTTGCTTTTTCCGGGTTGAAGAGCTTTGCTCTTTCTGCGAGGTATTCGGGACTGATCAGTTGCTGTGAGGGCACTTTTGAGACTTTGGGGTCTGCTATCCACCAGTTTCCGTCTGCGAAGGCTATCCGTAGTGCTTCGACGACTGCGTGGATGTATGGAGCGGAATTGTGGTCCTCTTTTGCGAATTTGGGAATCTGGCCGGATTTCTCCAGTTGCTCGATGATCCCGAGAGCCATTAGTGCGACGATTCCTTGTCCATTTGGAGGGTGTTCCCACAGTTCCACGCCCTCTTGACTTGCATCGTGCATGTGCTGTCCGTGGTTCTTGGCCACTTCTTGTGCTTTGAACTTCAAGCTTATCGCTTCCGTCTCTTCTGATCCCAGATCTGCATGATTCTTGAGATCTTCTAACGTCAAATGACCTCCAAGATCTTGCACCACTTTGACAAGCTCTTCGGCAACAGTTCCTGTGTAGAACCCAGCTTTCTTGTGCTTTCCGACGAGTCTGAATGTATTGGCCAAGGTAGGATTCTTCATGATCTCGCCAGCCTCGGGCCTTCGACATCCATCCTTGCCTTTGGGATCTTTCTTCAGCATTTCAGCTCCGTTGGGTGACGCTCTTCGCAACAAGCTCTCGGAATTCTTCCAAAAGTATGCGCTGAACTCGCTCACAGGGAATCCTTCCTCACCAAACTTCGCAGCAGGTTCCAGAATTTCTTCCAAGCTCAACTTGCCACTGCCAAACCATTCCACAGTATCCACCCAACCAGCAGCTGCACCAGGTATCGACACAGCATGTACACTGTCCATTGGTATCTTACCAACCTGTCCATCCTTCAAACCCAAGCTCTTCCTCACTGTGCTCAATGTCATATTCTTGCCAGCTCTTCCAGACCCATTCAAAGATCGCACCTTCTTGGTCTTCGCATCGTAGAATAAGCAGAACATATCACCTCCAATGCCTGTGCTTCCAGGCTCGGTCATGTTCAATCCAGCTGCTACTGCCACAGCTGCGTCTGCGCAGTTGCCGCCTTTGTTGAGGATTTCGATCCCACATTTTGCTGCTAGAGGTTGTGTACAGGCGACGATGCCTTTCGTGCTATGGACCACAGATCGACGGGATGGGAAGGCAGCGAACTTGAGACCGGCCTCCCCTTTGGGATATGCGGCGGAGGGATTGAGAGGCATTTTTGAGATCGGAAGGTGGGAATGAAGAGATACGGTAGCTCGCCAGACCGTCGTTCGCCGAGGACTATTGCGCCATCTAGGCGAGATAGGCTGTTGGAACGGGTATTGCGGGTTCGCGGAGATGAGGACGGCGATGTGTAGTACTACTCACTGGTGTATCGCGAAGAATTATGTAGCGACAATGTTTGCTCGTAACTGCTTCCACTCCCAGCAACGTTTCGCCCTACGACCTTCTGCTTTCGGATGCCGACTTCGCTGTGCATCGGCGAGAGCTCGGGCAAGCTCGCGCCGGGGAGAAGCGAATCCTTATTAGCTTTCATGTGATCAGACAGGGGTTTTGCTTGCGAAAGATCTGACAAGATTGCCAGGTGAAGTTAGGAAGATATGCCTGAAGGAAGTCTTGATGAGATTGGAGCAGACGCGAGGAGCAGGACAAAAGGACGCGAGAGTAACGAGACGTCGGCGTTTGGTGTTCAACTTCCCGACGGTGGCGCTCGACAATGAGGTCAGAGGACAATCGACGTCCATCCTCTAAGATCTGATGCGACAACTGCCAACCTCCGGGTCTCCCGCATTCCTTCATTATAGTATCTCATAACACCCCTCCCATCCTCTCCACCCATAATTCCAAAAAAAAAAAAATATACCAAAATGTCAAATCCCCAACCCCAACCCCAAAGCAAAGAGACCCGAGCCCAAGCCTTCGTGCGCGGCGCAGGCGAAGTCCAAGATCCCGAACATAAACTCTGGGCACCGGCACGATGGGTTGTACAAATGATTCAGTATCTGATCGCGATTATCATGATCAGTACGCACCGAAGCTCAAACTTGAAAATGAGAAGAGAGTCACTGCTGACAGGCTTGCTTCCTCCTCTAGCGATCGCTGAAGGCGCAAAATCCATTGTGAGCGGCGAGAAACCTAAACATCGACGACATCCTCGAAGCGAGTAGTGACTGCCCGAAACGTTCGCTAGGTGGAGATCTGCGTTTTACCCTTTGATTTGTGTGACGGCTGCTGCTGCTGCTGTGTATGTGTGCCGACAGTGGGTGTACAGCACCGAGAAGGCATCCTGAGTGACCCGAGCATATCCGATCAGAGAAGTCCATAGCTTCTTTGGTAGCAGAACCTGAGGCATCCACGGAGCTTCTGAAAGGAGCCAGGGGTCGTGGACATTACTGTAGCTATTCGGCTGAAAGTTCAAGTCTCAAGCGGAAGTTCAAGAGGAGCGAAGGGATACGAGTTTGTTCGACGGCCTGCAAAATGAAAGAGACTACGATGGGAAGAGAAATCGATATCGACAGTGTCATTCGAAGAATAGAACTTTGCTACTACGAACGCATTCTGGGTATCATTCCTGGAGCCGACCACGACCTCCATGCTGTATACTTTTCAGATTTTCATTTCAAATGCAGAACATCAAAGCCTTTGCCATATATCTCATCGTACTCAATTGTGGATGCTGCATTCTCCTTTCCAAAAGCATCAATCAATTTTTGACTAGCGATGGCATCGCCATTGATTACTGTTCGAGCTTCTGCCCGAGTCTTTCCTGTTGCGCCTTGGCCCCATATTATTTCAGATGTCTTGTTCAAGTATGTACCAATGTTGCGAAATGTCAATGAGATGCGCTGACTTCCGTAGGCTTTCTCGGCTTCGGACCATTCCACGCCAGGTCTTCTGTCCCAATTGATCCCATGCAGATATTGGGCATTTGTCTTCAGAGACATGGTGAGCATGCTGTTATGAGGCATGGGGATGCGATACGTTGTCCTGGCCGGGCTCTCTTCGGTGTTCGTTGCGCCTCGCTTTGTCCTTATTCGCATGATCCTCTGAGCTCCAAAGCTCACATTGACGATATTGCTCTCCGGTGTTATGTCGAGAGTCTTGTCGGAGTGCTCGGAGATGTAATCATTGCCGCTTCGATAGAGCTGAATCAAGGCGTGATTCAAAGGATGACCTACGACGAGCTCAGCAGCGCGTCTCACTCGATCCACGGCCGCGCTCCAAGGGGTCGTTGGCAAAGTCTGATCAGACGGGTGTCTGTAAACTGGCATACTGCCGTCTTCGTCAACAGCGGCCTGACAGCAGACCAGACGCGGCACAGCTCCCATTTGGTGATGCATGGTCTGCCAATTGATTTCAGATTTCAGCTCATCGAAGATCGACTCAGCCTGGTCTTGCGGTAAAAGATGATGAAGCATTCGAGAACCTTGACTTTCCGTCTCCTTGTCGCGACCAAAGAGTGGTCGGTCTGCGAATGCTCTGCTCGACGGTTTTTGATTTTCTATTGCTTCGTCCATCGTGGCAGAAGTGGGCGACAATGCAGCTGCAGAACACAAAGTAGCACGGCCAGGACGAGAATATATTTGCGTTGTGGAAGTTGTGGTGTGACTCCGCATTTTGTCCCCAGGAATTATATCATTTCGTCTTGGCGGTGAGTCACGGAAATCTAGCTTGCGATGACTTGATGCTGCGTTGAGGTCGGACTGGACAGTAACTGGTTGTTCATGCTTGCCCTCTCGATATACCGTCCGCTCGCTCTCGCGATGGAAAGATTGAGCGCTCGAAGATTGCTCACGCTGAGTGGTAATCTGCGCGGCGGCTGCTGAACGTGAGCATGAACTCGCCTCTAGCTCGACCCGCGTGAAAGGACGTACGATTGGTAATGAGGTCTCCTCATCGTCATCTAGATTACTGTCCACTTCGATGGTGCCAGACTTCACGTCTGACTGCGTGGGTGATGGATTCGCAGTGCCATCTTCGCCCTCAAACGAGGCACTGCGGCCGTTGTCGCTGTGATCGACTTCCTCATCTGCGGATTGACCTCGCAACTCTTCCATGACTTTCTTACTGGACATTGTTTCTGCAGACATGTAATCTTCCAGCTGGCGAATGGCCCTGTCGTGTCGGTCTTTCCTGCGATATCCTAGGCAGTCTTCAACCAGGATGATCCTGATTCCGTATCGAGCAGCATCCATGGCAGTGGCGTAGACGGACAAGTTCGTGATGCAGCCACATACGAAAAGATCGGTTATGAGCTTCGATCGGAGACTCACGAGCAAAGAGGTACCACCAAATGCCGAGTAGTGCGTCTTTGTGAGCTGCATATCTCGCGGCTGTATCAGGGGTTTGATGCGGTCGGCATAATCAGCACCACGAGAACCGCGCACGCAGCAGGGTTCTTTGGTGGGGGCAGCAGTGAGGAACAGTTCTTCGTCGACATTATTTGGAGGCTTTGGCTTCGGGGATGTGCTTGTGGATTTCGAAGGACTCTGTAATCAATGGTGAGCCAAGGATTTGCATGCTGGGTGGCATAGCATGGGCTACCTTGCTTTTCTGCTTTGATGACTTCGCTTGGTCAGGTGTGTCGTCTCCCGCGATCACAGAGTCGCTCGAAGCAGCGGCGGTGTTGACTGGACGATCGACGTCGAATTCACAGCGCACCCAAATGATGTCGCCGTGCTCACGAAAGTCGGACACCAGACGCGTCAGAGGGTCGAGGAAGCGCGTGTCGGCGACTGGCAGTTTCCCCTGGCCGGAGATGAAGTCATTCTGCAGTGCGAGCACAATGAGACCGTTTCTTGTCTGCAAATTGGTGTTCTGCTGAGACAGCAGCGCAAACAGAGACGACATGGCGAAGGCAATGGATGTCGGGGCAGACTTGAGCGGCAGAGGTCAGCAGTCTCATGCTCGAATGGCAAAGCAAGTGCGCATACTTGTGATGACAACAATAATAAGGCTGTTTCTCGGCCATGCAACGGTGAGATGCGAAATAGCCAAGGCGCTCAGGCTTGGAAGACGGAAGAGCAGAGCTTGGGATGATGAGAGCGAAATCGTGGTGCCATCGGATGGCAGGCAGGCAGCCGGAGGTGCATTTTGTTGCAGCATGCAACGTCGGAGTGCCAGCACCTTGGGACGGTGATGATGATTGCAGAAAAGCTGCGCTGCTTCCAAACGAGTGCCGTGCCGTAGGACAAGGATAGGCATGCGTCATTTCACGCGTCAAGCAGCAGTGGGCGAAACATGAGCAGACGAGCAGCGGACATGGGTCGCGATGCAGGGCAGGAGCGGGAGGTCTACCTGAAGGCTTGACGGAGGAGGAGGAGCGCGTTCATGCTGCCATTCCCCTCGAAGCGTGCGCAGGAAAGGACGTGTGTGGTCGTTGAACGATGATCGGGAGGCGCGGTTGCCTTGCCGTTGCCGTTGCCGTTGCCGTTGCGGGAGAGCCGGGGTGGCAGGTGGCAGGTGGCAGGTGGCAGGGTGGGGTCTAGAAGTACGGCACGCGTCTGGACCAACAGCTGAAAACACGTCTGAAAAGCAGCCATGCCCGCCAATCGCAATCGCAATCGCATGCCCGCGCAGTGCTGATACGCCGCGAATGCTGGCATTAATGCTGAGCTTCTCAGTGGATCCGCAAGACGATGAGTGATCGGCTAGGGTCAGGGTCAGGGTCAGGCGATGCCGGTTAAGGGTTAAACTTGCAAGCGCTCTAATAAGACGCGTTTCGAATGATTCCGCTTAACCTCTCAGAATTAGTAGTCCATCACGGCAGTACGGGCATGCTCTTGCCAAGTGCCGGCACGGGGTGTGCAAATGCGATCCACTAACTCCACCTGCCGCTGACCGACCCGCATCCCAGCCTACCCGATAAACATGCCGCTTGATGATGACATCGGCTGCGAGATGGCCACTATGCCATTACCTATTACTCGTCTGTCGACACGCATTCTTGATGATTGTTCCAGGTCTGTATCACGCTCTTAATCAGTGCACCATGCATGAACCAAGAAACCATGAACGAGAGGGAAATGCATGCTGCAGCGAAACTCAACCAGCGGAAACTTGTATTACGACATCCCGGCTTGTCAACAACCACACCAGGCCTGCCAGAGCGAGCCTGTGGCCTTGTGCCTGCTTTTCCTTCACTGGCACGCATGAAATGTTGAGAAGTATGCCCGCCCGCACAAAACTCAGATATTGCAATCTGGAAAGTGCAGAAGACCCGGAAGGAGCAAAAGCATCCTTCGGGCTGTATCGCAGGTGGATTTGGAATTCGATAGATCGATCATCGACGACACTGCGACAGGCGAATGACGGTCTGCTACCTACAAGCTTTCTATGTACCGCGTCTCTGCACTTCCGAGTGAAAATGGTTAGGCGCGGACCGCGGGACAACAACTCGCTATTCGCTGGTAATCCTTCCTTCTCAAGGTTCGGGGCGACACCCACTTTCACTCCCCAAACGCTGTAGAACTCAAAGGATCATGATCGCTTCCTTGATCCTCCTATCTCTCACCGACCTAGGATTTCGCAAGTTCGCATCCTATCTACATTCTGCTGCAACATCTTCCGGACGCACCGATTCCTCCCGATTACTTACTGTACATCTCGAAGCGCGCGAGCGGCGCGCCGGATGTTGGGCCGACGGGCGGCAATCACTTGCCTGTGAACCCAAAATACTGCGGCGTCCATCGTCCATAAGGAATACGAGAATAATAATATGCTGCAGCTTCTCATTGCCCTGAAAGCCTATTAGGCACCTTGCGCAGTAGGTTTGAATTGGCAGTTGCGCTCCGTGCACGCGGAAGTGGCTCGCGCTAGTGTACTAGCATATGAATAAACTCCAACCTGCTACCCGTGCGTAAAGGATTAAGTGAATAAAAGCACGGGTAACACCTTGGTCTCAACCTGTTACCCGTGCACGCTCATATGATCGAAAATACGCTAATTGGACCCTGCACTAGGCCGTTGGTGGTTAAGTGAAGGAGTGTGCGGAGCGCTTAGCGCAGTGGCTTGAACCCTGCCCTCGGCTTCTATCAAATTCCTCTCCGCTAGCATAGTGCCTATCACATGCTAGTCGCCAAGCGGCCAAACTGCCTGCGCAACCTCTTATTAACCGTTGGTCTGGTTATTCACTTTCCGCCGCTAAAACGGCGCTATTCGCGGCTTCTTACATATGCTAAACGGCTGGAAACCTAGTGCGCAAGGTGCCTATTGGCTCCTCAGCGCGATAAATTTTCTTATTGGCAGTTTCCCCTGCCTTGGAGCAAGATATCGTCTCGGGGCGAACGGCGAAAGCCCTAAAGTGATGTGCTGACTTGATCGAATGAACAAACCAGTCACGCCATTCGGAGAGCGAGTGATGAGCGACCAGTCTGTTGCGGCTGAATACACACAAGACGAAGCTGCAGGGAGGAAACAGTATCAATAGCACACCTAACATCTACCCGACACCTCCGGATGAAAGGTCCTGGAGTTGGCTACACGTTCCGGATGATCCTTCACGAACAGGATAGTTCGGCGCCAGCCAGCGCATACATACTGCAGCTTTCGCAGCTTTCCTCTGCCGCTGCTGCAGCTACGCCCCAGTTGTACTGATCGCATTCCATTCTAGACCATGGATGGGACCAAGTGCCTCGGACAGTGACAGACACATTTGTTGCGTTACTGTCATTCGAATTCCTGCATGCGCGTGGCATAGCATGTGATCTCTGCGCGCTGCTCGAGCATCATGACGGGCGGCTAACGGGCACAAGTCGGCTGCACATGGGGTTGTGGAAGCTGCCGACTCGCGCCGATGCGGGCACGCAAGAAGCTTCCTTTGGCCCTCTCTCCCTCCCAGTCTTTTGTCGTAGATGTAGGTGCAGAGTGGAGGAATATGCTTCACCAATCTGCCATTTCTGCTGCTCTCGGCATATATATCTCAAGAGAGGAGAACCAGGGCCCTCTGTACAGTACCGTGAGAAAGGTCTCGGAAGATGAAGTGCTGACGAAACGCATGACGCCTGGACCTTCATCATCATCATCATGTCCTGCAGGAAACCGTGTTTCGGCAACCTTGTCGATGCATCCCCTTCAAAACTCGACGAACAAGATCGTTCATGCAAGTTGCCCCAGTTTTGCCTGTGCGCTCGTACAAATTCTGTCTGTGCACACAATTAACCACCTTTTCTGCTCCACTTATGTTCGCCAAGCATAACCGGTATAGTCAGTAAAGGGATGACATTTGTGGAAAAATTGCGCCGCCGTGCTTGACCCTTGAGGATTATGCACAGACTCGATGTGGACACCGGACTGACAGCAGCAGAATATCGGTCATGGTGCTCTGAGTCCGGATGTGAAAGATTTCGTTTTCCGAATGATCGATTAGCGGTCACATTACGCAGCCTTCGCGAGCTGTCGCAAACGAGCACTGCTCTGCTCGACACCCTCTTCGAACCCAATGGCACGCGATATGCTGATGGCTTCTTTGTACCGCCTCTCCGCCAGCCCTATATCCTTGCTCATCTCGGCGAATTCACCCAGGTTGTGAGTTGCGACGGCACAGCCGATGTCACATTCCTCGTTTCGCTCGGGCGGTTGTATGCCAGCGGCGACATCAATGGCCTTCTGAGCCCATAGCTTCGCATTGTCGATCATGCTCTCCTGGGTGGCAGCAGGTCCTGTCGGCCGCTCCGAGATGTTCTTCGAGCTTGCGTATGCTTGAGCCTCGCGTGCGGCACGAGGTGACTGCTGGGCTAGGCTGGATGCTAGGTTGTTCATCAGAACCACCTGATGACAGCTGTTCGTTGGATGTAGGCTCAAAGCCTGCAAGAACAGCGGCGCTGCGAGGTAATGCTGATCCTTTGCTTCGTAGCTGTGTGCCAGCGCTTCCAACGCGCCTCCAATTTCGTCGTTGCTCATCCATTTCCCTTCCTCTTCCTCTTTTACGTTCTCGTTGATCCTACGCCGCTGCTCTTTCAAGACTGTCTCCACAGCCCAGACCAATCGCTCTTGCGCCATCTCTCGATCGTAAATGGACGGATGACCGTAAAGCTCTCCCAACTTGACCGAAATTCCAACAGTCTTTGCAAGCACACTCGTCCTTCTCGCTTTATTTCGCTCTAGAACACCATACTGCTCCAGCCAGGCCAAATTGTCCGCACGCGTCCTCTCCAGTACTTCAATCGCCTTTCCCCAATGATTAACATCCTCCAACAGCTTCGCCATCTGAATCTTAACGCCAATAATCTCATCACTGAAAGGGTCCATCTGGATATCTTCTGCCACTTTTAATGCTTGCTTGTAGTATTTCAGGGCTTCCTTTGGTTGGAGATCGATGTTGGTGTAGTACAATGCTCGTCGAAGCTTCTTTGCGACTTCTTCGGGGAATTTGTGAAATGATGCGATGATGTAGTTTTGATACAGGTAGTTGGCATAAAGGACACTGCCGGCTCCTACTAGGATTGCTACTGCGGCCAATGTTACGCTGAATGGGTTGGCTTTGGCGAGGTTTCTGGCTTTCTCTGTGAAGGAGGCTGCGAATCGGCGCTGGGTGAGGCATTGTGTTGGTGTTCGACGGAGTGCCTGTTGTGGTCGAACAGGTCGGTGTGGTAGCGTGTGTATCCGTCTTGACGTTGTAGAGGCGTGTCTGACTGCTTGCCGTATTGGCAGCGCCATCGGTCTTGCGGACATGTCGATGTATGAGAATGAGATGTCAGAATGCTTTTGGGATGCTCGCCATCAATTTTTGAACGAGCTGCTTCCCCAGATCCTGGCCGCATTGAATGACGACACCGTCAACGCGCTTTCGCGTCGAGCTCGCTACATTTACCCTCTGACCATAACATGTAATGTGAGGCCGAGACGAGAGCCCACCTCTGGGCACATTCACTCACCATGTGCGGACGATACGTGCTGCATATGCGGCCGTCTGAAGTCCGGCGGCATCTTGCAGACCAGAACATGCCAGTCGATGATGCGCCGGACGACGACAACCCGCAACTGCGGCAAAGCTACAACTTCGCTCCTGGCTACCATGGACTGATCTATCGAGCCCAGACTAGCGATCGCGGAGCAGGCGAGAACGAAGATGAGGATGCTCAGAGCAAGAACGGCGAACCCTCTCCGAAGAAGGCCAAGCTCTCCTTGACGCCACAGGCCGTCGATGGCAGAGCGACCCAGGAGATCAAGTACAAACTGCAGGCCGCAAAATGGGGTCTTGTGCCTTTCTGGACCAAGCGGCCTCCAGACTATGGCAGTCAAATGAGAACCATCAATTGCCGCGACGACAGCTTGATCGAGAACCGAGGCATGTGGAACACCATGAAGCAGCGCAAGCGGTGTATCGTTGTCGCAGAGGGCTTCTATGAGTGGTTGAAGAAGAACAACGGCAAAGAGAAGATCCCACACTTCATGAAGCGTAAGGACGGACAGCTGATGGCATTTGCTGGCTTGTGGGACATGGTCCAATACGAAGGCAGCGAAGAGAAGCTCTACACCTATACCATCATCACAACAGACTCTAACAAGCAACTCAAGTTTCTTCATGATCGCATGCCGGTGATTCTCGAGCCTGGAAGTCATGCAATGAGAATGTGGCTGGACCCGAATAACATTGGTTGGTCGAAGGAGCTGCAGAGCATTCTGAAGCCATTCGAAGGAGAGCTAGAATGCTATCCCGTCGACAAGGCTGTCGGAAAAGTGGGCAACAATAGTCCGGCATTCGTCATACCCATCGACAGCAAGGAAAACAAGAAGAATATTGCCAATTTCTTCGGCACTCAGCGTGCCACTGCCCATGAAGTCGCCGCAAAGAATGAGGCTGCTCGTATGGACGACTTCAAGCTCGAACAGCATCAAGATACGACCGCCAAAGTCGAAAACACCGAGGATAACACTCCACTTCCAAAACCAAAGAATGAAAGCGACGAAGACCTGTCTCGGCGCATTAAGAAAGAGACGGCAGAACTAGGTGATCAAGACATCATTAAAGCTGCTGATCAGCAGATCGAGAAGGGTATAAAGCGCGAGATGTCTGAGATCGACAATCAGTCACTCATCAATGCTGCCGAAAGCCCTCCCAAGAAAGCCATCAAAACAGAGCATCCTTCCTCGACACCGAGCTCAGCCGCCAAGAGTACCGGCGGCAAGAAGACTAGAAGTGCTACAACGAACAGCACGGTAGCGAAAACCCCGACGAAAGGCGGCAACGCCAAGATCACAAGCTTTTTCGGCAAGTGAAGGCATGTTCCGGACCTGCGATGAATGACTTGATTCCGTCCAGCAGATGCAGCTGACACCGAGGATTGCCTCATCGCTTCCGCCGCCTTCGCCAGGCGACCGAAAACACACACATATCAGCCCGCATATTCGTCAAAGAATGAACGCCATGTCCAGCTCTGGAAGGAGAGTGAAAGGACATATGAACTCGTCGCTAATCTCGTCTTTATGAGTATACGTTCGACGGTCTTGCAGGAAACGCTTGGGCTTCTTATGATGCCTAAGTTCTTCTCAAAGACGCTTTACGATCAATGTGCTATCCTTCACTATTCCTCCACGTCAAACGTGAGGCTGCTACGACCCTCGACGGTATCAGGAGGGCTGTGGACCGAAACATCTTGACAGAAGCTGATTTCCACATGTTAAGTGCGACGACATGTATGCAGCTCAATGCTAAGATGCGCCAACAGTCCCTACACCAACGAGATGGTGACGTGTACAATGTGACCAGCGCGTATGACCGCAAGAAGCCTCTGGTTTAAATGAAGAACAGCTTACCTCGTACATAATTCGCTTCGCATATGCTGACACTGTTGCCTCGGTCCGCTATGTGGCCCAAAGTCCATAGCGTTTCTTATTCTACGATCCGTCCGCTCGCCTGCAGACGCGATTGCGGGCTTGGCAGATGTGGTCACGGCGTCTTGGAGGCCTTCTTTGTGCCTCCTTCTCTCATTAATTACATCGTCAACACCACCGATGTCAATTTTCTCCAATGCTCTCGCTACAATCAATAATATGACAACTCAACAAAAGTTGGGGCCCCTTTAGGCTTAGTGCGGCTCAAAACGACCGAAAAGCCGACTCTGATTGGTCGGCGGCGAGGAACTTTAAAATTTCTCGATTCTCGAGCAGTCCGGAGGGCGTAGGAGTCGCGGTATCGACTATAACGCTCCGGCGCCGCGATAGCAGTGTTTCCGAGGCCGTCTCCGTCGTTTACGCCTAATCTAGCGGCATTTTTTACTCGAGGCGGTATCGTTCGCGTCTAATCCGGCGGTATTTACTCGGAGCGGTAGGCTCGAAAGGCTTATCCTACGCGTTCCGGATAGTACTACTCGCTATAGGCGTTTTATAGGGTACTTATAGTAGGCGTTAGATAAGGTACTCGCTATAAATAGTTCGAATCCTATTTAACTATAGGCGTTTTAGATAGTATTTACTATAAGCGTTTCGGATAGGACTACTCGCTATAGCTATCTCGGACAGTTGCCGCTATAAGCGTTTCGAATATTACTACTCGCTATAAGCGTTTTTAGTAGTATTTACTATAAGCGTTTCGGATTAGACTTGCTATAAGTATTCTAAATAGGACTTACTATAGGTATTTTAGATAGTCCTACTTGCTATAAGCGTTCCTAATAGTACTTGCTATTTGCGTTCCGGATAGACTTCCTCTACGCGTTCCGGATAAGACTTAGTACAAGCGTTTCGGATTATAATTGCTATATAGTGCGTTCTAAATAAAACTTAGTATAGGCGTTATAGACAGTAGTACTAACTATTAGCGCTCCGGATTAGAGTTATTAGACTTACTATACGCGTTCTAAATAGTACTTAGTATTATAAGCGTTCTGAATTAGACCTATTATAGGCGTTATAGATAATAGTTGGCTTATCCTACGCGTTCCGGATAGTACTACTCGCTATAGATATTCTATAGAGTACTCGCTATAGGCGTTATATAGGGTACTCGCTATAGATAGTTCGAATGCTATTTAACTATAGGCGTTTTAGATAGTATTTGCTATAAGCGTTCCGGATAGTACTACTCGCTATAGGCCTTCCGGATAGTGCTTCGTATAAGTATTTAGTTTCGGATTAGACTTAGACTTACTTTATACATTCCGGACAAGACATTCTGTAGGCGTTTCGGATTAGATTATTAGACTTGCTATACGCGTTCCGGTTTATATAGGACGAACTATACTAAGCGTTTAAAATAAGGCTTGTCCTACGCGTTCCGGATAGTACTACTCGCTATAGATATCTTAGATAGTTACCGCTATAGGCGTTTCGAATATTACTACTCGCTATAGGCGTTTTTAGTAGTATTTACTATAAGCGTTTTGGATATAACTTGCTATAAGTATTCTAAATAGTACTTACTATAGGTATTTTAGAAAGTACTACTTACTATAAGCGTTCGTAATAGTACTTACTATTACCGTTCTAAATTAGACCTACTATACGCGTTCCGGATAGTACTTACTCTACGCGTTTCGGATAAGACTTAGTATAGGCGTTTCGGATTAGAATTGCTATATAGCGCGTTCTAAATAGAACTTGGTATAAGCGTTATAGATAGTAGTACTAACTATTAGCGCTCCGGATTAGACTTGCTATACGCGTTCCGAATAGTACTTACTAAGTTACTATTATAAACGTTCTAAATTAGACTTTCTATAGGCGTTATAGATAGTAGTTAGCTTGTCCTACGCGTTCCGGATAGTACTACTCGCTATAGGTATTCTATAGAGTACTCGCTATAGGCGTTTTATAGGGTACTTACGGCCCCTTTAGGCTTACTACGGCTTAAAATAAGCTAAAAGCCGACTCTACTTAGCTATAGCCGAGGAACTTTAAAATTTCTTAGTTTACGAGCGGTTCGGAGATTATAGGAGTCGTAGTATATAGTTCGTAAGCGGTTCGGAGATTGTAGGAGTCGTAGTATATATCGTAAGGCTACGATAGTATTATTTCCGATGCTATATCGGTCGTTTATACCTAATCCGGCGGTATTTGCTCGAGGCGGTATGCTCGAAAGGCTTAGCCTACGCGTTTCGGATAGTACTACTCGCTATAGATATTCTATAGAGTACTCGCTATAGGCGTTTTATAAGGTACTCGCAGTAGGCGTTATATAAGGTACTCGCTATAAGTAGTTCGAATACTATTTAGTAACTATAGGCGTTTTAGATAGTATCTACTATAAGCGTTCCGGAAAGTACTACTCGCTAAAGATATCTCGGATAATTATCGCTATAAGCGTTTCGAATATTACTACTCGCTATAAGCGTTTTTAGCAGTATTTGCTATAGGCGTTTCGGGCGTTTTGGATTAGACCTACTATAGGTATTCTAAATAGCACTTGCTATAGGTATTTTAGATAGTACTACTTGCTTTAAGCGTTCTTAGTAGTACTTACTATTAGCGTTCCGAATTAGACTTGCTATATACGTTCCGGATAGTACTTACTCTACGCGTTCCGGATAAGACTTAGTATAAGCGTTTCGGATTAAAATTGCTATATAGCGCGTTCTAAATAGAACTTAGTATAGGCGTTTTAGATAGTAGTGCTAACTGTTAGCGCTCTGGATTAGACTTACTATACGCGTTCCGAATAGTACTTACTATTATAAGTGCTCTAAGTTAGCCTTACTATAGGCGTTGTTAGTAACAGTTAGCTTATTCTACGCGTTCCGGATAGTACTGCTCGCTATAGATGTTCTATAGAGTACTCGCTATAGGCGTTCTATAGGGTACTTAGAGTAGGCGTTATATAGGGTACTCGCTATAGATAGTTCGAATGCTGTTTAACTATAGGCGTTTTAGATAGTACTTACTATAAGCGTTCCGGATAGTGCTGCTCGCTATAGTCTTAGCCTATAGGCCTTCCGGACAGTGCTTAATATAAGTATTTAGTTTCGGATTAGACTTAGACTTAATTTATACATTCCGGATAAGACTTTCTATAAGCGTTTTAGATTAGACTTAGTATACGCGTTCCGGTTTATATAGGACTAACTATACTAAGCGTTTAAAATAAGGCTTGTCCTACCGACTCCTACGCGTTCCGTATAGTACTACTCGCTATAGGTGTTCTATAGAGTGCTCGCTATAGGCGTTTTATAAGGTACTCGTAGTAGGCGTTATATAGGGTGTCCGCTAAAAGTAGTTCTAATGCTATTTACTATAGCCTATAGGCGTTTTAGATAGTATTTGCTATAGGCGTTCCGGATAGTGCTACTCGCTATAGATATCTCGGATAGTTACCGCTATAAGCGTTTCGAATAATACTACTCGCTATAAGCGTTTTTAGTAGCATTTACTATAGGCGTTTCAGATATAACTTGCTATAAGTATTCTAAATAGTACTTACTATAGGTATTTTAGAAAGTACTACTTGCTATAGGCGTTCTTAGTAGTACTTACTATTAGCGTTCTATATTAGACTTACTATACGCGTTTCGGATAGTACTTACTATACGCGTTTCGGATAAGACTTAGTATAGGCGATCCGTATTAGAGTTACTATATAGCGCGTTCTAAATAAAACTTAGTATAGGCGTTATAGATAGTAGTACTAACTGTTAGCGCTCCGGATTAGACTTACTATACGCGTTCCGAATAGTACTTAGTATTATAAGCGTTCCAAATTAGAATTCCTATAGTTGTTTTCGATTAAAGTTGCTATAAGCGTTTTGAATTAGACTTACTATACGCCTTGTAGGCAGTACTTGCTATAAGTGTTCCAACTCGGAAAGAACTACTTACTATAGATATTTCGAATAGTACTCGCTATAGGTATTCCGGATAGCAATTACTATTGGCGCATTCCGGCTCGCTATAGGCGTTTTTTAGGGCACTCGTAGTAGGCGTTATATAGGGTACTTGCTATAAATAGTTCGAATACTATTTAGCTATAGGCGTTTTAGATAGTATTTGCTATAAGCGTTCCGGATAGTACTACTCGCTTTAGGCCTTCCGGGTAGTACCTAATATAAGTATTTAGTTTCGGATTACACTTAGACTTACTATATATATTCCGGATAAGACTTTCTATAAGCGTTTTAAATTAGACTTGCTATACGCGTTCCGGCCTATATAGGACTAACTATACTAAGCGTTTAAAATAAGGCTTATCCTACGCGTTCCGGATAGTACTACTCGCTATAGGTATTCTATAGAGTACTCGCTATAGGCGTTTTATAAGGTACTCGTAGTAGGCGTTATATAGGGTACTTAGCGCTCGCTATAAGCAGTTCGAATACCTATAAGCGTTTCGGATTAGACTTGCTATACGCGTTCCGGTTTATATAGAACTAACTATACTAAGCGTTTAAAATAAGGCTTGTTCTACGCGTTCCGGATAGTACTACTCGCTATAGATATCTTAGATAGTTACCGCTATAGGCGTTTCGAATATTACTACTCGCTATAGGCGTTTTTAGTAGTATTTACTATAAGCGTTTCGGATATAACTTGCTATAAGTATTTTAAATAGTACTTACTATAGGTATTTTGGAAAGTACTGCTTACTGTAAGCGTTCGTAATAGTGCTTACTATTACCGTTCCGAATTAGACCTACTATACGCGTTCCGGATAGTACTTACTATACGCGTTCCGGATAAGACTTAGTATAAGCGTTTCGGATTAGAATTACTATATAGCGCGTTCTAAATAAAACTTAGTATAGGCGTTATGGATAGTGGTGCTAACTGTTAGCGCTCCGGATTAGACTTACTATACGCGTTCCGAATAGTACTTAGTATTATAAGCGTTCTAAATAAGAATCCCTATAAGTGTTTTAGATTAAAATTACTATAGGCGTTTTAGATTAGACTTAGTATCCGCCTTATAGGTAGTACTTACTATACGCCTTGTGGGTAGTACTTACTATAAGCGTTCTAACTCGGAAAGAACTACTTACTATAGATATTTCGAATAGTACTCGCTATAGGTATTCCGGATAGTAATTACTATAGGCATATTCCGGAAGTAGTTACTATAGATATTTAAGACTATCTTGCTGTAAGCGTTCCTAATAGTGCTCGCTGTAAGCGTTTCTAAATAGTGCTTTCTAATATCTATAACGCGTTCCGGATTAATATTACTTTTTAGTATTATCTAAAATATAACAACTCAACAAAAGTTGGGGCCCCTTTAGGCTTAGTGCGGCTTAAAATAGGCTAACCGCGGCCTCTAATTGGTAGACGCGAGGAACGTTAACACCTCTACGATCCGGAAGGGCGTAGACGTCGCAGTATATACCGCGACGAGCTATAACTTCGATAGTAGTCTCGAAAAGGGCGTCTTCGTCGTATATACCTTATCCGGCGGTGTTTGCTCGCGGCGGTATTGCGCGGAGTCTATATTATAACGCGTTGCCGCCGCGATAGTAGTATTCCGGAAGGGTATATCTAACTTTTAGGCCTAATCCGGCGGTATTTGCTCGCGGCGGTATTACGCGGTTACGCTATCTCTAATATAATAATAACTTAACAAACCGTAGGTCTACTTTAGGCTTAGTACGGCTTAAAACGATCTAAAAGCCGCCTCTAATTAGCTATATCCGAGGAACGTTAAAACTCCTTAGTTCGCGACCGGTTCGGAGGACATAGTAGTCGTAGTATGTATCGTAAGGCTTCGCCGCTATAATAGTAGTATTTCCGATACTATATATATCTTTTACGCCCGATCCGGTAGTATTTACTCGAGGCTATATAGTCGTTTACGCCTAATCCGGGGATATTTACTCGAGGCGGTATACTCGAAAGGCTAAGCGTATCGGATATAGCTTACTATAAGTGTTCTAAATAGTACTTATTATAGGTATTTTAGATAGTACTACTTACTATAAGCGTTCTTAATAGTACTTACTATTAGCGTTCCGAGTTAGACTTACTATACGCGTTCCGGATAAGACTTAGTATAAGCGTTTAGATTAGAATTACTATATAGCGCGTTTTAAATAAAACTTAGTATAAGCGTTATAGATAGTAGTACTAACTATTAGCGCTTCGGATTAGACTTACTATATACGTTCCGAATAGTACTTAGTATTATAAGCGTTCTAAATTAGACTTATTCTTAGTATTACAGATATTCTATAGAGTACTCGCTATAGGCGTCCTATAGGATACTCGTAGTAGGCGTTATATAGGGTACTCGCTATAGGTAGTTCGAATACTATTTACTATAGGCGTTTTAGATAGTATTTACTATAAGCGTTCCGGACAGCACTACTCGCTATAAGCCTTCCGGACAGTACTTAATATAGGTATTTAGTTTCGGATAAGACTTGCTATATACGTTCCGGTTTATATAGGACTAACTATACTAAGCGTTTAAAATAAGGCTTATCCTACGCGTTCCGGGTAGTACTGCTCGCTATAGGTATTCTATAGAGTACTCGCTACAGGCGTTTTATAAGGTACTCGTAGTAGGCGTTATATAGGGTACTCGCTATAAGTAGTTCGAATATAGGCGTTTTAGATAGTGTTTACTATAAGCGTTCCGGATAGTACTACTCGCTATAGATATTCCATAGGGTACTCGCTATAGGCGTTTAATAGGGTACTCGTAGGAGGCGTTATATAAGGTACTTGCTATAAATAGTGCGAATACTATTTAACTATAGGCGTTTTAGATAGTATTTACTATAAGCGTTCCGGATAGTACTACTCGCTATAAGCCTTCCGGATAGTACTTAATAAAAGCATTTAGTTTCGGATTAGACTTGGACTTACTTTATATATTCCGGATAAGAGTTTCTATAAGCGTTTTAGATTAGAATTACTATATAGCGCGTTCTAAATAAAACTTAGTATAGGCGTTGTAGACAGCAGTACGCTATAGATATTCTACAGAGTACTCGCTATAGGCGTTTTATAGGGTAATCGCTATAAACAGTTCGAATACTATTTACTATAGGCACTTTAGATAGTATTTACTATAAGCGTTCCGGATAGTACTACTCGCTATAAGCCTTCCGGAATCCGGATAGTACTTAATATAAGTATTTAGTTCCGGATTACACTTAGACTTACTTTATATATTTAAGATAAGACTTTCTATAAGCGTTTTAGATTAGACTTACTATAAGCGTTCTGGATAGTACTATTTGCTATAGATATCTCGGATAGTTACCGCTATAAGCGTTTCAAATATTGCTACTCGCTATAAGCATTTTTAGTAGTATCTACTATAAGCGTTTCGGATACAACTTGCTATAAGTATTCTAAATAGTACTTACTATAGGTATTTTAGATAGTACTACTTGCTATAAGCCTAAGCGTTCTTAATAGTACTTACTATTAGCGTTCTAAATTAGACTTACTATACGCGTTCCGGATAGTGCTTACTATACGCGTTTTAGATAGGACTTAGTATAAGCATTTCGGATTAGAATTGCTATATAGCGCGTTCTAAAGCGTTCCGGATAGTACTACTCGCTATAGATATCTCGGATAGTAACCGCTATAAGCGTTTCGAATACTACTACTCGCTATAACCGTTTTTAGTAGTATTTACTATAAGCGTTTCGGATATAACTTGCTATAAGTACTCTAAATAGTACTTACTATAGGTATTTTAGATAGTAGTACGCTATAGATATTCTATAGAGTACTCGCTATAGGCGTTTTATAGGGTACTCGTAGTAGGCGCTATATAGGGTACTCGCTATAAATAGTTCGTAGTAGTTAATATAAGTATTTAGTTTTAGATTAGACTTAGACTTACTTTATATATTCCGGATAAGATTTTCTATAAGCGTTTTGGATTAGACTTAGTATACGCGTTCCGGTTTATATAGGACTAACTATACTAAGCGTTTAAAATAAGGCTTATCCTACGCGTTCCGGATAGTACTACTCGCTATAGATATTCTATAGAGTGCTTACTATAGGCGTTTTATAAGGTACTCGTAGTAGGCGTTATATAAGGTACTTACTATAAACAGTTCGAAACGTTCCGGTCTATATAGAACTAACTATACTAAGCGTTTAAAATAAGGCTTATCCTACGCGTTCCGGATAGTACTACTCGCTATAGATATTCTATAGAGTACTCGCTATAGGCATTTTATAGGGTACTCGTAGTAGGCGTTATATAGGGTACTCGCTATAAACGTTTTTACTAGTATTTACTATAACCGTTTCGGATATAACTTGCTATAAGTATTCTAAATAGTACTTACTGTAGGTATTTTAGATAGTACTACTCACTATAAGCGTTCTTAATAGTACTTACTATTAGCGTTCCGAATTAGACTTTCTATACGCGTTCCGGATAGTACTTACTATACGCGTTCCGGATAGTACTTACTATACGCGTTCCGGATAGGACTTAGTATATACGTTTCAGATTAGAATTACTATATAGCGTGTTCTAAATAAAACTTAGTATAAGCGTTATAGATAGTAGTACTAACTATTAGCGCTCCCGATTAGAGTTACTATACGCGTTCTAAATAGTACTTAGTATTATAAGTATTCTAAATTAGAATTCCTATAAGTATTTTAGATTAAAATTACTTTAGGCGTTTTAGATTAGACTTACTATACGCCTTATAGATAGTACTTACTATAAGCGTTCCTACTTAGAAAGAACTATGTACTATAGATATTTCGAATAGTACTCGCTATAGGTATTCCGGATAGTAATTACTATAGGCGTATTCCGGAAGTAGTTACTTTAGATATTTTAGACTATCTTACTATAAGCGTTTCTAATAGTAATCTAGCTCACCCTACCCCGCTCGTCGCCTTAGCCTTTACTTATAGCTCTTCGGCCTTTACTTGTGGCTCTTCGAGCCACATAAACACTAGTAAAGAATGATGAGCAGAGCATCGTCAGAGCTGGCCGAAGGTTCAGTGCCTGCAAATCTTCCTTCCCGCCCGGCCACCGTTGGCCACAAGGAAGGCCGATCGCGATACGTCAAGATGTAACCCTAGTGTATAATGGAGCATGTCGACACTTGACCGTGTCGGCATGAAGAAAGCCCTCCGCCTCAGGCCCATGAGACCAGAAGCTTCTATCGCAGACTTCAGACGAGCGATAGCATACGTTGCAGAATGGGCTTCTCAGAACTAGCTTCAATTCTGTTGCTGCCAGCGTTCATTCAACTCGCTACGGGACAAACAGAAATTGGCGGTCTCTCTGGCAGCCATCCAGAGATCTCAAGATGGTGTGGAAAGCCGTACGAAGCAGGGTGAGTCCAATGTTCCGAATGCATTGAGCTCCGCTAAGACATACAGTTCTCCAAACTTCGATCCCGGAGGACAGCTCTATCCTCCAAGGCCCGCACCAAGCCCGCATTTTCACCTGACAGCGCAGCCACGATACAGCATATACGACAGCAGTGAAACCAAGGGCGAATTCATCGTGGATGTGAAACATCCTCATGATGGGTGGCAGCAGGGCTCCGGAGGCTATGGTGGTCCAGAAGCTCATGGTCAATTCGAAATCATTATCAGCACCTCAGGAAGCAAAGTTCCCCTAGCCACCAGCTCAATGACTCTCGGCCAGAGTGAGCGATTAATATCTTTTGACCTGCGGAGGCTGCGGCCTCAACTGGAGCCGTACAGGATTGAAGTCTCCGTGACCAAAAAGCATTCCTGGAGAAGTTCCGACCACACAACCGAGACCGAGCTCTACTATCTTCCGGCTAAGAGGACTGGGAGTACCGCGAAGGTAGACAACTTGAATGGCGGGATGTTAGTGGCAAACAATGGCACGAATTTCGAGTTCAAGCCAATCCTACCTTTCGGGTTCTATACAAGCTGCAGTGACTACTTGAACAATTCCATTGCAAATGTCACGGCTTACAGAGACTTGGGCTTCAATGCTATCAATCCTGTCTGCGCCTATCCGGATGGAGACATGTCATCCATTCTCAACTCTCTGGACGCGCTGGACGTCTGGTATCAATATGATATGCGAGGCTCCTACCTGAATCTCTCTTCCGTCGCGGAGCAGATACCACTGGTCAAAGATCGCTCAAATCTGCTCAGCTGGTATACAGCCGACGAGCCTGATGGCTGGCAGTATGCGCTCAACTCAACAAAACTGGCTTACGAACTGCTGAAGCGAGAAGATCCCTACCATCCTACAGGTCTGGTCCTGAACTGTCAGAATTACTACTTTGAAGAATACACATCCGGCACCGACATCATTATGCAGGACGCATATCCCGTTGGGATTGACCCACACTTCAGTCGCAAGTTCAACACCACGTGCAACGCGACTTACGGAGACTGCGGCTGCGATAACTGCATCGGTTCTCTCTTGGACGTCAGTGACCGTCTTGAGACGTTTGCGAAATATCAAAGCTGGCTAGAAATCCCACAAAAGCCTCTGTGGAGTGTACTGCAAGCGTTCTCTGGCGAAAAGTATTGGTCTCGCGATCCCACGCCGGATGAAACCTTCGTGATGATGATCCTCAGCTTCAACCACAATGCAAAGGGAATCATGTCCTGGATATTCCCACCATCGAAGAGCCTCAGCCATGCACATAGCTTGGTGGCGAAGGCGACTACTACGCGACCAGTCCTCGACTTCCTGCTCAGCGGTGATCCAATTCCCATCAAATTGTCTAGCCAAAAGTCCGTAGACGTTGCATTCTGGAGTTTCGAGACACTAAAGATGGTTTCTATCGTACACACCAGCGAAGATGAAAGCAGCGGACGAGTAAAGATCGAGCTCCCGTTCAGCGCAATCAAGGTCGTTATGCAGCCTTGGGGATCTTTGAATTGGACACTTTCCGGTGGCCATGAACTGGAAGTGTCGCGTCTCTCTGGATACGCGACAAGTTTTGTGATTCTGGAAACAATCAACGAGTCTATCAATTAAAGTGTATTTGATGGTTTTGAGATCGCTTTCAGCATTGCGTGTGCTTAACAGATCGCCAATCCATTAAGAGCGGACCAATAATGGTAATGCATACTAGTCCAACAGGCAGGTAATATGTTTGTGAGAGCAATACATCGGATCCATGGACCATCTTTGCAAGCTTATCTGGACCTAAGCTCGACTGGAGATCTGAAAATCTCATACTTTCGATGGCGTCCACGTCCAGATCCGGAGCCGACTGTGCGAGTTGGCTTTCAGTCAATATTGTCTGAGCATTACGGACAGAGCTAATGGCGCACCACTGACCTGGAATATCGTCTGCATCGCCGCTTGCGGGCCTTCAAAGCCAATTCCACTAGCGAAGCCTGCAAAGCCAAAGTACAATATCAGCTGCGCGAGACCTGTGTCGACTCTCAAGTGGTCATGAGCCCCGTGGCAATCGGCACGAGTACCGAAGCTGCTACCATGAAGGGCGTGTAGTAGCTAAAGATCGTGGTTCCGCTCCCCGTAATCAGCATGGAGACCGTGAAGCCGACTAGAATCGGGGCCATGAGAAGTCCACAAGTTGAAAGATCAAAACCATGCACTCTCTGCAACTACGTCGGCAAATAATACTCAATGATCGAGTTGACCGAGTTGGTGCAGCTGGAGAATAGGAAACCGGCCAGCATATTTCGATTGACGATGATTCGATGCGGACTTGTGGCAGACTCCTGCTTGACGAATATGCCCAGAAGGACAACGAAAGCAACCAATGACATGGCGATCTTGACATAGCTCCACTCATGACTTACACCTCCAAAAGATAGTGCAATGAACAGCCATGCAAGAGCTGGTACGAAGACGACGTTTCCAACCAGATCAAGCTGGCCTAGGATATCTCTCCTTAGGAGATTTCTTTGCTTGGTTTGGTTCAAACGTCTGTCAGGAAGAAGCAAGTTGCAATGAGCACGACGCTCCCCAGCGGAAGGTTGATCCAAATGCACCAACGCCAGCTGTGGTCCTGATCAGTGCACGTCTCAAGACCGAGCCTGAACAACAAATACACCGAAGATGCTGTGTCATTGCACCACCTAGATGAATGAGCTCAGCCACTTCATCCGCATAAGGAATACACAAATCAATGCCGAGAAAACTCTCTTCGCCGAGAAGAGTTCGTACAATTTCCCGAGCAAGACTGAAAAGACGAAGAGCATAGCCTGTAAGCCGCTGAGTGCCATCCGACATCCGCAATGCTGTGGAAGTGGTCCGTAATGAAAGGTAAGGCTATTGGCAGAATGTTTGCGTCTAGACCTCCTAAGCTAGAAAGGATGATCAACCAGAACTTGGCACCGGTCGGATACTGAGTCTCTGCTTCAGCTGCTTGTCTGCCAACTGTTGATGACTTGGAATTAATGCGTTCATGCCTCTGAACTGGAAGAGATTGGAGTTGGACGCTGTCGCTCTCCTCGACAGACGTCGCCATTGTCTCAAGTGGCAGTGGTCGACATCGCGAGTGATTCAACCACTTTGCAAAAGACACGAGCAATCTGGAACAATGCTGTCACGAATGTTGAAGGAGAGCTTCATTCCGAAAAGTACGTCATTACGCAAGTGCTGCTGAACGATGGGCTCGCTAGGAACACATAATATGTCGACGATTGCCACAATGTACGGCATCAATTCATCGAAGTTGTTGCTCGGCCACGTGATGCGAGACTTGACATGATCGATCAGGACCCATGCAAAACTTTAAGCTGTAACGCACCCTGCCGAGCGTGGACGACCCTGTGAGTAAAATTACGATACCGTTTCGGCATTTCAGATCAAAGCTGCCTCTCACTGGTTGGTTCCTGGAATCCTGGCAAGCTATCGTAATATGTAAAACCATCCCAGGACAGCATGCTCCTTCTGGGAATCCATGGAACTTGGCAGGGTCATTTGATTGCAGTCGATCTGTCCTGGAGATCGATACAAAATCATGGGTCGCCGTCTACCTTCATCAGGATGCTTTCGCAACGCTGGGGCTGAGAAGACTTGATGTTCTGAAGCGATGTTCGCACCCTTAACCCTCGTTTTGACCTCACTGCTAGCAGTAGACGCTGCTGTCGATTTCAAGAATGATCTTCAGTATTCACAACCAGCCAGTTCTGATCCAACGCCAGTAGCTGCGAAGCCGGATTCGCCAGCCACAGTCACACGAACGGTTATACCAAATCCAGCAAAGACCGGAACACCTACAACGAACGGGACGTCTCTCTGCAAAGATGTACAAGCCAAAGGAGTTCAAGGAGACTCGAGGAAAGCAGAGGCCGTCAAAGAGGCGTTTATGCATGGCTACCTTGCGTATCGAAAGTACGCGTTCGGCTTTGATGAGATTCAGCCTCTGAGCGCGAATGGCACAAACAGTCGATATGGCTGGGGCCTGACGATTGTTGATTCGATCGATACAGCTATCATCATGGGCTTGACAGATGTCGTTCAGGAAATGCTGCAGTATATCTCGCAGATTGACTTTACGACCCCTGGAAACGGAGACGACCGAATACAGCTCTTTGGTGAGCAGCGCTGCACTAGAACGTATCTCGCATAGTCGTACTGATGTGGTGGTAGAGGTGAACATCCGATACATCGGAGGCTTGATTTCAGCATATGACTTGCTCAAAAGCGGCCAATTCTCCAGCACAGGTCAATACGATGAGCAGCAGGTGGACGCTTTACTCGATCAAGCCAAGAAGCTTACAGACAAGGTGGCCTATGGCTTCAATACGGCAACAGGTATTCCAGCTGCATTCGTCAACTTTACAACCAACGAACCAGTATACAACACCTACACAGATTCTGTCACCAATGTCACCTACAATTCTACAAATGCTGCCAGCATTGGCACATTCATTCTGGAATTCGCACGTCTATCAGATCTTACAGGAAACAACACCTACCGCGAACTAGCGGAGCGTGGCAACAGCTATCTTGTGGATCCGTCGCCACCACCAGTCTTGTCAAGTCTTGTCGGCACAGAGTTTGATGTCGACACAGGTAACATGCTGACATTCAATGGCGGCTGGCAGGCTGGCGTTGACAGCTTCTTGGAGTATCTGATCAAGTATTATCAGTACGCGGTCACTGAAACGAGCACAGCATACAAAGAATTCTGGTTAGATGCTACCAAGTCTACGATCGATAATCTGGTCGTCCATCCGTTCGGGCACCCGGAGCTGACATTCGTCTCCTACCAGAGCCGCAACGGCTCGATTGAATGGTTTGCGGACGATTTCTCGTGCTTTGCCGGTGGTGGCTGGTTGCTTGGTGGTGCGCTCCTTAATAGACCAGAAATATCCCAGCTCGGTGCAGCCTGGACTGATGGCTGTCACCACACTTACAACACCAGTACCACAGGTCTTGGTCCTTTAGCGTTTGGGTGGTTCAATGAGAAGGGTGGAGCGTACGATCCAAAACGTGTCAACGATGCAGCATACCAGAAGTCGCAAGCTGCGAGAGGATACTTCCTGCCTGCAGGAGCGGAAAATTGGTTCTCACGACCTGAACCTATCGAAAGCTTGTTCTATGCGCACAGAATTACTGGTGATCCTCGATGGGCCGAGCATGCCTGGAGTGTCTTCCAGGCGATGAACGCCACATCTCGTACGAAAATTGCTTGGGCAGCTGTCGATAATGTGGACATGCCATATGGTGGTAGCATGAGTGACAATCTCGACTCGTGAGTATACCGAACTCTCAGGCTTCGGAAGCTAATGGTGACTTCCAGATTCTTCTTCGCCGAAGTGCTGAAGTATCTCTACCTGACCTTTGCCGATCCGAAGGTCATTAATCTCTCGGAGTGGGTGTTTAACACTGAGGCACACCCTTTCTCAACCTCTTGTTCGGGCAAGGGAACTTCGAAGGCTCCCACAAGATCTCCGCAGGATCGCAGAGGTGTAGGACAGTCGAAGTCGGGTCAGCACCACCGAAGACAGCATCTATAGAAGACAGTCGATAGGCCAGAACTAAAAGCACCTTGCTGACAGGTATCCAAGAAAAGCCAGCATCCGTTTAGACTCGTTCCTCTCCAAAACTTGGTACGATTTCACTTCTGCTAAGCGCCAGAATTTTCCTCCCACAGCATGACGGACCTCCGATATCCTTCTCTAACGAGTCCTCGGGTAGTCACATCGAGGTCCATCTTCGCGATATGCTCTGGTCCAAGATCGATAGGCAAGACTTCCTTAAAGCCACGCTTCTCATACCACTTCCCATTCCAAGGTACATCCGGATACGTGAATAGCGACACCCTCGCTGAGCCCCCTCTAGACCTCGCCTGATCTCGCGCCCAATCGAACACAACGTTCAAAAGCAGACCGCCGACACCTTTGTTGTTGTGTGCCAGACTCACCGAGACTTATCGAATAGTGATTACAGAGTCCATAGGGAATGCCGCAATGAAGCCTATAGGTTCTCCACTGCTAACGTCTTCGGCAAGCCAGACTCGTCCTTTCCGTAGCCATTCTGCTACTACTTCAGGCTCGAAGATTTTCTTAGCTCCACCTTCGCCTATGTCTGCAAGCTGGGGGATTAATTTGAACTAGGGCTTATGTGGCTCGAAGAGCCACACGAGAAGCCTAAGGCGACGAGTAGCTAAAGTCTTATCTAGACGCCTATAGTAGGCCTAATCTAAAACGCGTATAGTAAGTTATATCTAAAACGCTAATACTAAAAAGTAATATTAATCCGGAACGCGTTATAGATATTAGAAAGCACTATTTAGAAACGCTTATAGCGAGCACTATTAGGAACGCTTATAGCAAGATAGTCTTAAATATCTATAGTAACTACTTCCGGAATATGCCTATAGTAATTACTATCCGGAATACCTATAGCGAGTACTATTCGAAATATCTATAGTAAGTAGTTCTTTCCGAGTTAGAACGCTTATAGTAAGTACTACCTATAAGGCGTATAGTAAGTACTACCTATAAGGCGGATACTAAGTCTAATCTAAAACGCCTATAGTAATTTTAATCTAAAACACTTATAGGGATTCTTATTTAGAACGCTTATAATACTAAGTACTATTCGGAACGCGTATAGTAAGTCTAATCCGGAGCGCTAATAGTTAGTACTACTATCTATAACGCCTATACTAAGTTTTATTTAGAACGCGCTATATAGTAATTCTAATCCGAAACGCTTATACTAAGTCTTATCCGGAACGCGTATAGTAAGTACTATCCGGAACGCGTATAGTAGGTCTAATTCGGAACGGTAATAGTAAGTACTATTACGAACGCTTATAGTAAGTAGTACTTTCTAAAATACCTATAGTAAGTACTATTTAGAATACTTATAGCAAGTTATATCCGAAACGCTTATAGTAAATACTACTAAAAACGCCTATAGCGAGTAGTAATATTCGAAACGCCTATAGCGGTAACTATCTAAGATATCTATAGCGAGTAGTACTATCCGGAACGCGTAGAAAAAGCCTTATTTTAAACGCTTAGTATAGTTAGTTCTATATAAACCGGAACGCGTATAGCAAGTCTAATCCGAAACGCTTATAGGTATTCGAACTGCTTATAGCGAGCGCTAAGTACCCTATATAACGCCTACTACGAGTACCTTATAAAACGCCTATAGCGAGTACTCTATAGAATACCTATAGCGAGTAGTACTATCCGGAACGCGTAGGATAAGCCTTATTTTAAACGCTTAGTATAGTTAGTCCTATATAGGCCGGAACGCGTATAGCAAGTCTAATTTAAAACGCTTATAGAAAGTCTTATCCGGAATATATATAGTAAGTCTAAGTCTAATCCGAAACTAAATACTTATATTAGGTACTACCCGGAAGGCCTAAAGCGAGTAGTACTATCCGGAACGCTTATAGTAAATACTATCTAAAACGCCTATAGCTAAATAGTATTCGAACTATTTATAGCAAGTACCCTATATAACGCCTACTACGAGTGCCCTGAAAAACGCCTATAGCGAGCCGGAATGCGCTAATAGTAATTGCTATCCGGAATACCTATAGCGAGTACTATTCGAAATATCTATAGTAAGTAGTTCTTTCCGAGTCGGAACACTTATAGCAAGTACTGCCTACAAGGCGTATAGTAAGTCTAATTCAAAACGCTTATAGCAACTTTAATCGAAAACAACTATAGGAATTCTAATTTGGAACGCTTATAATACTAAGTACTATTCGGAACGCGTATAGTAAGTCTAATCCGGAGCGCTAACAGTTAGTACTACTATCTATAACGCCTATACTAAGTTTTATTTAGAACGCGCTATATAGTAACTCTAATACGGATCGCCTATACTAAGTCTTATCCGAAACGCGTATAGTAAGTACTATCCGAAACGCGTATAGTAAGTCTAATATAGAACGCTAATAGTAAGTACTACTAAGAACGCCTATAGCAAGTAGTACTTTCTAAAATACCTATAGTAAGTACTATTTAGAATACTTATAGTAAGTTATATCTAAAACGCCTATAGTAAATGCTACTAAAAACGCTTATAGCGAGTAGTATTATTCGAAACGCTTATAGCGGTAACTATCTAAGATATCTATAGCGAGTAGCACTATCCGGAACGCCTATAGCAAATACTATCTAAAACGCCTATAGGCTATAGTAAATAGCATTAGAACTACTTTTAGCGGACACCCTATATAACGCCTACTACGAGTACCTTATAAAACGCCTATAGCGAGCACTCTATAGAACACCTATAGCGAGTAGTACTATACGGAACGCGTAGGAGTCGGTAGGACAAGCCTTATTTTAAACGCTTAGTATAGTTAGTCCTATATAAACCGGAACGCGTATACTAAGTCTAATCTAAAACGCTTATAGAAAGTCTTATCCGGAATGTATAAATTAAGTCTAAGTCTAATCCGAAACTAAATACTTATATTAAGCACTATCCGGAAGGCCTATAGGCTAAGACTATAGCGAGTAGCACTATCCGGAACGCTTATAGTAAGTACTATCTAAAACGCCTATAGTTAAACAGCATTCGAACTATCTATAGCGAGTACCCTATATAACGCCTACTCTAAGTACCCTATAGAACGCCTATAGCGAGTACTCTATAGAACATCTATAGCGAGCAGTACTATCCGGAACGCGTAGAATAAGCTAACTGTTACTAACAACGCCTATAGTAAGGCTAACTTAGAGCACTTATAATAGTAAGTACTATTCGGAACGCGTATAGTAAGTCTAATCCAGAGCGCTAACAGTTAGCACTACTATCTAAAACGCCTATACTAAGTTCTATTTAGAACGCGCTATATAGCAATTCTAATCCGAAACGCTTATACTAAGTCTTATCCGGAACGCGTAGAGTAAATACTATCCGGAACGTATATAGCAAGTCTAATTCGGAACGCTAATAGTAAGTACTACTAAGAACGCTAAAAGCAAGTAGTACTATCTAAAATACCTATAGCAAGTGCTATTTAGAATACCTATAGTAAGTCTAATCTAAAACGCCCGAAACGCCTATAGCAAATACTGCTAAAAACGCTTATAGCGAGTAGTAATATTCGAAACGCTTATAGCGATAATTATCCGAGATATCTTTAGCGAGTAGTACTTTCCGGAACGCTTATAGTAGATACTATCTAAAACGCCTATAGTTACTAAATAGTATTCGAACTACTTATAGCGAGTACCTTATATAACGCCTACTACGAGTACCTTATAAAACGCCTATAGCGAGTACTCTATAGAATATCTATAGCGAGTAGTACTATCCGAAACGCGTAGGCTAAGCCTTTCGAGTATACCGCCTCGAGCAAATACCGCCGGATTAGGTATAAACAACCGATATAGCATCGGAAATAATACTATCGTAGCCTTACGATATATACTACGACTCCTACAGTCTCCGAACCGCTTACGAACTATATACTACGACTCCTATAATCTCCGAACCGCTCGTAAACTAAGAAATTTTAAAGTTCCTTAGCTATAGCTAAGTAGAGTCGGCTTTTAGCTTATTTTAAGTTATAGTAAGCCTAAAGGGGCCGTAAGTACCCTATAAAACGCCTATAGCGAGTACTCTATAGAATACCTATAGCGAGTAGTACTATCCGGAACGCGTAGAACAAGCTAACTACTATCTATAACGCCTATAGAAAGTCTGATTTAGAACGTTTATAATAGTAACTTAGTAAGTACTATTCGGAACGCGTATAGCAAGTCTAATCCGGAGCGCTAATAGTTAGTACTACTATCTATAACGCTTATACTAAGTTCTATTTAGAATGCGCTATATAGCAATTCTAATCCGAAACGCCTATACTAAGTCTTATCCGAAACGCGTAGAGTAAGTACTATCCGGAACGCGTATAGTAGGTCTAATTTAGAACGGTAATAGTAAGTACTATTACGAACGCTTATAGTAAGTAGTACTTTCTAAAATACCTATAGTAAGTACTATTTAGAATACTTATAGCAAGTTATATCCGAAACGCTTATAGTGAATACTACTAAAAACGCCTATAGCGAGTAGTAATATTCGAAACGCCTATAGCGGTAACTATCTAAGATATCTATAGCGAGTAGTACTATCCGGAACGCGTAGGACAAGCCTTATTTTAAACGCTTAGTATAGTTCGTCCTATATAAACCAGAACGCGTATAGCAAGTCTAATAATCTAATCCGAAACGCCTATAGAAAGTCTTATCCGGAATGTATAAAGTAAGTCTAAGTCTAATCCGAAACTAAATACTTATACGAAGCACTATCCGGAAGGCCTATAGCGAGTAGTACTATCCGGAACGCTTATAGCAAATACTATCTAAAACGCCTATAGTTAAATAGCATTCGAACTATCTATAGCGAGTACCCTATATAACGCCTATAGCGAGTACTCTATAGAATATCTATAGCGAGTAGTACTATCCGGAACGCGTAGGATAAGCTAACTATTATCTATAACGCCTATAATAGGTCTAATTTAGAACGCTTATAATACTAAGTACTATTTAGAACGCGTATAGTAAGTCTAATAACTCTAATCCGGAGCGCTAACAGTTAGTACTACTGTCTATAACGCCTATACTAAGTTTCATTTAGAACGCACTATATAGCAATTCTAATCCGAAACGCTTATACTAAGTCTTATCCGGAACGCGTATAGTAAGTCTAATTCGGAACGCAAATAGCAAGTACTATTAAGAACGCTTATAGCAAGTAGTACTATCTAAAATACCTATAGTAAGTCCTATTTAGAATACTTATAGCAAGTCTAATCCGAAACGCTTATAGTAAATACTACTAAAAACGCTTATAGCGAGTAGTAATATTCGAAACGCTTATAGCGGTAACTGTCCGAGATAGCTATAGCGAGTAGTCCTATCCGAAACGCTTATAGCAAATACTATCTAAAACGCCTATAGTTAAATAGGATTCGAACTATTTATAGCGAGTACCTTATCTAACGCCTACTATAAGTACCCTATAAAACGCCTATAGCGAGTAGTACTATCTAGAACGCGTAGGATAAGCCTTTCGAGCCTACCGCTCCGAGCAAATACCGCCGGATTAGGCGCGAACGATACCGCTTCGAGCAAAAAACGCCGCCGGATTAGGCGTAAACGACGGAGACGGCCTCGGAAACACTGCTATCGCGGCGCTAGAGCGTTATAGTCGATACCGCGACTCCTACGCCCTCCGGACCGCTCGAGAATCGAGAAATTTTAAAGTTCCTCGCCGCCGACTAATTAGAGTCGGCTTTTCGGTCGTTTTGAGCCGTACTAAGCCTAAAGGGGCCCCAACTTTTGTTAAGTTGTTATATTATAGACTAGTGTTTATATAGCTCGAAGAGCTATAAGTAAAGGACGAAGTGCTATAAGTAAAGGCCGAAGAGCTATAAGTAAAGGCTAAGGCGACGAGCGGGGTAGGGTAAGCTAGATTCTAGAAGATTCTACGGCGGCTGTAGCCGTACCGCGCTAGGCAATAAGGCGGAAATCGTTACAAATCGCGCTTTATAAATCGCGCGCCTTTCTAATAATAACTTCTTCTACTTACTACTACTTCTAGTACTACTACTACTACTACGACTCGTTACTGCTCCCTTTCTATCTTTACTAAGCTAGACACTATACCTACCCCCTATACTAGCCCCTATAGAAACCCCGAGCAAGATCTCGAGCGCTACTAGTAAGTTTGATATTGTCGCTAAACCTTTACAACCGCGTCGCTAATAGTATTAGTCGCTTAAGTGTTTAAGGGTAAGGAAGTAATCGATCTCGCTAGTACGTCGTCTAACGAGTCTCCCCCTCGCTCTATAAAGCGAGTTCTATCTAAGAAGACCGGCTCTAAGAGGGTCGCGACTCTAGTAAGTCTCGTTTATAAATATATATTGCTAGATATACTAACCCTTAAAGCTCGTTATAGGCGAAGTCTTCGTACGTTTCGTTAGCGGCGTAGTACGCCGCCTTACCTTTAACTATACTGTCGTCCTTTAAGAGGGCGCTAAGACTATCGAGTACTAGTAGTCGCTAGGCACCTCTACTATTAACGCGTAGTCGTATACTACCCTCCTAGGATCGGACTTTACCTAGGACTTCGGCGCTAGCTCTCCTTTCGTCTAGATAGGACCTAGGAATCGATTTGCTATAGGAATCTATATCGCCGCTACTCGGAAGAACGCGATAATCTAAGAATAGTATACTAATTAAGAAGTTAAAAGTTAGAAAAAGCGAGAGGAAATAAGATAAGATATACTATCTACGCTATAGAGCGCGGACCGATATATATACTCTACGGAGGTTAGTTAGCCCTCCGTAAAAAATGAAATCTATAAAGTAACTTACAATCTTCTCCTTCCTATTTTTATCTTGTCTGCCCGTATAATAGATATATACTAGGCCTATAATGTCGGTTAGCGAAGCTAGCAATGTTTAATCTCGCGTTTCTTAGTACGTTACCGCCGTTATTACTATTTGTATTATAGTCGGTTTGAAATGTATACCTAATCTAGTTAAGTCCGCTCTACTACCGCGACGACTTCTATACGAGCTCGCTTACTATCTGTTTTCCGTATATAACCGCTTGCAATCTCGCTAATACTCTCGTAATATATATCTCGAATGTGCTACGTCGGAAACGTAGGAGAATTAGAATACAATAATTCCGCTAGAAACTCGAAGAGTTACTAGAGCTATACTTCGCTTATACTTCTCCTAAGATCTTCCGCTTTCTAAGACACTTCCGGGGTAAAGTCGTGTTCCTACTAGTAGCTAGTATCCTTAGTAGAGATAGTCTCTTAATGTTCTAGGGTGCCCTCTTCCTGTTCGTACTCCGTAGATAGAGGTCGAGTATTCGATTTCGAAGCCCGCCCGCTATCTTCGAATTCTAGTAATGCTACTCTCTTCCGGTTATAGTTTATATAGCTAGTATAGCTCCTAGGATCTCCTCTGTAAGCGCAATTACTATATAGTAGCTTTAGCGCTAGGTTATAGGAATAACGGTACCCTTCGAAATAACTATAGTTAGATTCGCAAGTTCTATATTTCGAAGAAAAGGGACAGTTTAGTATAGCGTAACTTCTAGCGTCTATACCGAGGATATAGACTAGCGCCGCTCGCCTCGCTCTCTTGTCGGTACCCTTCTACGTTACGCCTTCTCCTAGTACACGTATATAGCCCTCTCGAAATACTAGATCTCGCCCTTTACCGCTTACGATTTTCTTTACTAGCGCGTAGTCCGTAGTTCTAGTTTCCTAAATTTCACCTTTTTAATATACTTCTACTACTGCTTATACGAACTATTACGCGTAATCCTTTCCTACTTTAGGTACAATATTAAGGCTCGATATTATATTAGCGCTAGGAATATAGTAGAGAACCCGAAGAGAAAGGAGAATAACTAAGAGAACTACCGGGAACTTGGCTTATATAAACAGGGGATAGGCGGCTAAATAATAAGGTTCTCGGTACCTCGGAGAAGTAGTAATACGCTAACCGTATTTAGGTAGCTAAACTCTATACCTAAAGAGAAAAAAATGCTAGTACGGATAGAGAAGTTTTGTATATATATATTATAGAGAATAACTACTAATCGTAGCCTAAAAGTCTTCTATATCGAAGTCGAGATCTACGTCTTAAAGCATACTAAGGATCTTAGCTTCTTGTTTATATACGATAACCGGAGCCTTTACCTTAGTAATATCGCCTAGCCTTAGAGTGCAAGGTAGCGTTAGAGCGTATAGTGTCGAGGTCGGAGTAGAGACTTAAGTATAGGATATAGGCTTCGAGAGTAATACGGGTTGTCCGGGTAGTTGTTAGGGCTAAAGAGGCTATACGTAATTGGTATGTAACTAGGCCGAGTGAAGCTAGGGTCTTAATGCCTTAGGCAGGGCTTGGCGCTTAGCGTTAGGCTAACTCTCCTGCCTTCCTCCCTCTCCTCCTAGCTCCTTATCGAATACTACTTGTACCTACTACTATCCTATCTACCTACTAACATACCCTTCTTATATAGTATTCGATCTACCCTTTAAGGGCAGCAGCTAGATAGTCCTTATTTTAAGCTTTTAGCGGTATAGCTACGAATAAGACTAATCTAACTATATTGCGCCCAAAGAACGGGACCTATACGTACTATTCTATCGAAACAACCGTACTAATTATTAAGCAAGGCCTTCTATACGGCCTATTATACTAAGTTAAGCACACTAAGCCGATATCTACTAATTCCGCTATATCCGTATCTTAGGGGCTAATAATATATTATTAGTGTCGCCCCTTATAATAGCCGGTTTATTACGAAATAACAACCGTACTACCGCTAGCAGCGCTAGCAATAACAACGCTAGTAGCACAGTTCCCGCTAAAGTGCCTACTAAATTGCCTCCTACTAAAGAGCCTGCCGGAGAGCCTATTAAAGAAGAACCTGTAATTCTAGGTAATAATCTAGAATTGCCTGTTAACGATATTCTTAACAACATTGTTAATCGACGATATAGCTAGCCAGCCTTTGGCCCCTAACTAGTAGGGAGACTCTAAGAAGCTACCTAAAACAGGCTTACTGCCCTACGTTAAGAATAATAGCTAAAGGATAACCTCCTCGAAATTCGCCGCCTTTAGGAGGCCCTAATAACTAATACTAAGTCGATAGCAGGACCTTCCTTACTATTAGTCCTAGTCTAGAAGAAGGATACTAAACTTAAGGACTGCACCGTGTTTAATAGCTCTAGTCGAAAGCAATATAACGACTATATTCGTAACTATAAGCTTAACTAACGAAACGCACTAAGGGCTCTACCAAATGACTATTTACTAGTCGTCTATGCTATACAGTACATTAACGGCGACCTAAAACGCACCTAGGATAACCATTTTAACTCCCTTAATAACTAGACTACTGTTTAGTAGTAGACCTACAAAACCATTATGCTAGACACCCTTAGAAACCCTATACTAAGGCAACAACACGCTTAGGACTAGTACCTTCGAGCTAAACAAAAGACTAATTAATCGGCTCGCTTATTTAAGGCCTATTTAAAGACCCTCGAAGACGACCTCCCGACTAAAACTGATTCTATCTAGATCTCCGAAATACGCCCTAAATTGAGATAGGAATTAGTCCTTAAATTAGACCGCCGCCGTATATTTGAATAGGCCAATCTTATACGCATTCAATTTATAGTCGAAGTCGAAACTACTAAACGAGCTGTCTAGCTCTAGTAACGACTAGAATTAAGGATTCGACCTACTAGTAACCGTAGCAACCGTAGCCGCGGAGGAAACTAAGGTTCCTACTAAGACAACAATACTAACAATAGGAATAGTAACAACGACCGTAGAAGAAGCCGTAGCCGGCGGCTATATAGAGGAGGCCGTAATAGGGGCCGTAGAAAGGGCTCGTATCCCTATAGTACTAATCGCTCGGCTAACAATAGCGGCAATAGCTATAGCAATCCCCTAACCGGACTAAAGTGCTTTAATTGTAATAGCACTAGCTATCTACTAGGCTAATGCGACAAACCTAAGGACTAGGCCCGAATCGACCGTACTACCGCCGAATACCGAAAGCACCTTTTAGCAGCTAACGCTACCCCTATAGGCTAACCTTCTTATTAGTCGAAAAAAGAGTAAGCGCCGCACTAACTATTGGCCTTGTACGGCGTAAGACTATCGACATTGTGCTAGCTATTATACGTACCTGTCTCGTATCGGACACGTATAGGACTAACTATAAGACTAAGGTTACACTAGATCCGGGAAATTCAGTTAGTGCCCTTATTAGCTATCGCCTAGCTAAGCAATTAGACCTTCGATAACTGCCTAGGACTGACCTGCTAATCCTTACTTAGTTTAATAACGCTCGGCACTTGACCTATAGGGCCTACTATATCTATATAGCCCTAAAGGACGACCTCGGCAATAAGCGCCTACTAAACTTTACTACCTACGCGGTAGACATAGACAGCCTCCTATCTAACATTGTTATTAGCAACCCTGTTCTTAAGTACTATGCTATAGTTATAGACTTAGGCAGTCAATAATAGCGATTTAGAATCGCTAGGAAAGAGGACATTAAATATATTAATATTAGCGAGTGCCTTAATAATATTAGGGTCTATTTATTAGTAACCTAACCCTAGCCGATCCGACGGCCGACCTACTCGGTAGTAATAACGATAAACCTGTACCCCCTAATAATCCTAATTAGCTTGCTCGTATACTAGAGCCTATCCGAGAGACCTATATTAATGTGTTTAAACACTACCTAGTATCGACATTGCCTATGTTTAAAGAGACGGATTATAAGATTAACATTATAGAGGGCAAAGAGGTCCCCTTTAGGCTACTCTACAACCTTAGTAAAAGGGAGCTTGCTATGTTACGTAAGTATCTAGAGGAAAACCTAGCTAATAGCCGGATACGGTACAGTAACAGCCCTACTAGCGCCCCTATCCTATTCGTACTAAAAAAGGATAGTAGCCTACGCCTATATATTAATTACCGCGGACTTAATACTGTTACTATTAAAGACCGCTATCTACTTCCGCTTATTAATAAGACTCTCGATCGCCTTTCTAGTACCTACTACTATACTATATTAGATATTAAGGACGTCTATTACCGTATCTGTATTCGTAAGGGCGATAAATAGAAGACAGCCTTTCGTACTCGCTATAGCTATTTTAAGTACTTAGTTATGCTATTTGGGCTAGCTAATGCCCCTGCTATATTCTAGTCCTATATTAATCGGGCCCTATTAGGCCTATTAGATTACCTCTATGTGGTTTACCTAGATAATATCCTAGTTTACATACACTCTCCGGACATTGCGGAATACTAGGCTACAGTCCGCAAGGTACTCGATCGCCTAAGGGCCTATAGCTTGTATTGCAAGCCTTCTAAATGCACCTTTGCTACTAAAGAGGTATTATTCCTCGGCTTCCTCGTATTAACTAAGGGTATTAAGGCTAATCCTAATCGGATTAAAACCATTACTAAATAGCCTACTCCTACGTTAATTAAGGAGCTATAGTCGTTCCTTAGTTTTGCTAACTTCTATCGCCGATTTATTAAGGGCTATTCGAGGCATGTAATGCTACTAACTAAGCTTACTAAAACCAAGGCCAACCTAACTAGAGAGTTTAAATAGACTAATAGAGCATAAGCCGCTTTTAACGGTTTGAAGAAGCGCTTTAGTAAAGTCCCCTTATTGCACTATTTTATACTAAGCAAACAGATCCGCATTAAGACTAACGCTTTATAGTTTGCTATATTAGCCATTATATTACAATAGGCTAATAACAATTACTAGCACCCGATTGCCTTCTTTTCGAGGAAGATAATTAATGCTAAGCGTCGCTACGAGACCTACGAGCAAGAGCTCCTAGCTATTATCGAGGCCTTTAAGCACTAGAGGCACTACCTCGATAGGGCTTAATATACAATACAGGTCTATATAGACTATAACAACCTCCGTAGTATTACTAAGGTTACTAGGGTTATAGGTCGATAGGCTAGATAGGCCGTCTACCTCGCCGGGTTTGATTTTAATATATTATACCGGCTAGGCGTAAGTAACCCTACCGATAGCCTATCGAGGCGACCTAATTACGATAGCGAGACCTAACACATTAATTCTTTGTTTCTAACCCTGTAGTATAAGATTGCTATAGCCCGTATTGTTAATAAGCACGCGTAGGATAAGCGGCTTACCGGACTCCGCGACGGCTTAAAGCATATTAATGCTCTTACTATATTAACAGTACGTATTAAGGTAAGAGCTAAGGATACAGACAGGAGAAGTTATAATAACTCCCTAGTCGATATCGCTATATATAGTAATAGCGATTAAAGCACTAATGCAGTTAATCCGGCTACTAGTGCTATTAGATGTATATAATACGTACCTCGTTTAATAGCGAGGGTGCTACTAAATAACCTTGCAAATAGGGATAGTTAATCGTTTATAGATAAGCTGTTACGTGCTTAGTAGAGGGACGCCTTTGCTACTAAACGTATCGATAAGCTTGTAAGTAGGCGAACGACTCGATCTAATAAGAGTAACTAGTCGATCGATAATAAAGGTTATTTAAAGTTTAAGGGTAGATACTATGTCTCCGCTAAACATTCGATCCGATAAGAACTTCTTAAGCGACACTATAATAGTAAGCTTGCCGGTTACTATAGTATAGAGAGGTCGTACGAGCTACTATCGCGTATATACTACTAGCTAAATAGTAAGCGGGACATAAAGGACTACGTAAACACGTGCGCCGTATATTAACGTGTTAAGGTACTAAAGCATTAGCCTTTTAGCGAGTTGTCCTTATTGCTAATCCCTTACAAGCTATTTGCAGAGCTTACAATAGATTTTATTATAGGTCTTCCCCCTGCTAAGCGAAGAGGAAGTAAAGACATCTTAAACGCTATCCTAGTCGTTATAGACCGGTTTACTAAGGGCGCTCGATATATCCCGGCGCGGAAAGATTGGACTGCTATTAATATAGTAGAAGCGCTGTAGAACAATATCTTCTGTACCTATTAGGGGACCCCTAAAGGGATAGTCTCTAACCGAGGCTCGACATTCATATCTTATTATTAGAGTGAGATTTGCCTACAGCTAAGACTTAAGCATCGCCTGTCTATAGCATTCTATCTATAAACAGATAGTTAAACCGAAAGGCAGAATGCTACGCTATAGCAGTACCTACGCAGCTATATTAATAAGAACCCTAATAACTAGGTCAATCTCCTATAGCCTATAGAATTCGTATATAATAACAGTATACACTTATCTACTAAGGTTTTACTATATATAGCTATAATAGGCTAGAACGCCGCCTTACTATAAGACCTATTTACCTCGCTCGAGGCCGAGCGCAAGGAAAGGGAAGCGCGTTAAGTACTAACACCTAAGACGCTAGCGGCTATTAAGAGGGTTCAAAAGATACGAGAAATTCACGCTATAATAGCTAACAAACTAGCAAAGGCCTAGGCCTATTAGAAGGCCTACTATAACAAACACTATACGCTAATAACCTTCAAACAAGGCGACATAGTTATACTTAGTACGAAGAACCTCCGCATCCGCAAACACCTATTACCTAATAGCAAAACACGCCCTAAACTAGCACTAAGGTATATTAGTCCATTCCGTATTCGAGAAGTTAAGGGCTCCTCCGCATAGGCCTATTAGTTGTAGCTTCCTCCTTATTATACCATCTATAATACCTTCTATATATCCCTCCTTAAGCTATATTACCTACGCGAAGAGGATGAAGCCCCTACTAAACACGAAGATATACTAGCGGATAGTAAAGAGCTGTAGTCTATAGAACGTATCCTAGATTATCGGACTAAGCGAGGTAAGAAGGAGTACCTCCTAAGATAGCAAGGCTATTTACCTAAATAGGACTCGTAGGAGGCCGAAGACTCGTTTAAGGATATAACTAAGTTATTAGATAAGTATTAGACTAGTGTAAAGAACAAGAAGAAGGCTAAGGGCCTATAATATCGCCTAGGAACAATGCTACCCCCGGGGTGCTATTAGCTAACTAATTAGAGGCCGGCAAACTAGGACAATAAGACTATACTAGGCGCGCTACGACGCGTCTATTAATTAATCGTATGCTCTTTTAAGGACTCCCCCTCTTTACTAACGCGCCCTATAGGTCCCCCTCTTGTTCCCTTATTCTATCGGGGCCTCGAGGCCTAGGTAATCGGCGAAGACGGCGCGGCCGGCGCGGCTATATTAGTAACGGTGTTACGGAGTATATTGTTAGTTAAAAAAGGAGATTAGAAGCGAGGTAAAGTTAGCGCTAAGACGACTAGCGCCGCTATTATTAACATTACTTACTGTTGTTACTACATCTACTAAGACAACCTTACCTGTACTACGAGCCTAAGGCACCTTTAATTAAAACTTTAATCAAAACTTTAAGCCGCCTAAAAGATTAAGCCTGTTAAGGGGTTAATTAAAACTTTAAGGCTAAGTTAAAGCTTTAAGCCGCTTAAAAGATTAAGTAGACTAATAGACTAACTAACTAAGGGCAAAAACTATAGAGCTAAGCTAGCCGGGGTCAATCTTACGGATAATAGGTTACTCCTCGATCTATCTAACCCTTTAAGCGAGGCGAACCTCTACTACTGCACTTATAATAGCCTTTACCTATAGAAACTAGACGAGCTGTGTTTTTTTGAAAAGATAAGATAAGATTAACACTTGAAGGCTGCTAAACCTAGCTAATTAGAGCTAGCGAAACTACGAACAATAAGAATAATAACCCTCGGAAACGGACAAACCCTCGGAAGCGGACATTGCTAGGTCTTTTAAGAGTAGACGTAAAGAACTCGATACGACATTACTTAGAACGGAGGTAGTGCTATAATACCTCGTACGTCTACCTATTATAGCAGGGAAGACGCGCTCGTATTATAATTAGTCGAAGGCCTTTAATTCTTATAGATATATATTACTTTATAGTTTATTATATATAGAGATAGCGCAGTTAGAGTTGTATATTATGTTGTTAGAGGTAAGGTTTGACATAGTTATATAATTAGGTAGTTAAGTGTTTAATTTAGCGCAGGCTAAGCAGCTTATTAGACCTGCTAAGTTAGTAGCAATAGAGGTTGAGACTAGGATAAAGACCGGCTACGAGGGCGCGGCCTTTAGAAGGGAAGCGTGTGTTAGGGCTAAAGAGGCTATACGTAATTAGTATATAACTAGGCCGAGTAAAGCTAGGGTCTTAATACCTTAGGTAGGGCTTGGCGCTTGGCGTTAGGCTAACTCTCCTGCCTTCCTCCCTCTCCTTCTAGCTCCTTATCGAATACTACTTATACCTACTACTACCCTATCTACCTGCTAACATACCCTTCTTATAGTAGTCGCTTCCTAGAGAACGAAGGACCTAGAATAGGCGTAGTATCCTTAGAAATCTATTAGATTATACGCGCCGCAGATACGGAACGAGGTATTAGTATAGGTACTAGCGTAGGTAGTGTCGACGAGGCCTTAGTTAGATCTGCCTACGCAATCTCCTTCGAAGGTATTATTTTAGCCGTAACTTGTATTATCTATTAGGCGTTACTAGGACCTAGGGCTAAGTTCTAGAGGTAGACTAAGGAGTCGTCTAGTTAGTATCTAGGAGATTTCGGGAACGTACGCTCGAGGCACGTAGTTAAGTATACCCTACGGGCGTCGCGGTTGCTACGCTAGTCCGGTAGAGCTAGTAGGTATAGCGTATATCGCTCCGCGTAATAGGACGTTCGAGGTAATACCTATAAACAGATTTCTATTCTTAAAAATAAAGTCGACCTACTTCGCGGTCTAGATCTATAAAGTTTCGAGTATACTAGTTAGGCTCGTCTTCGGGTTCTATAGCGTCTCGAGTAGAACCGGTAGGCGGTTTAGCGATTTCGGGAACGTACGCTCGAGGCACGTAGTTAAGTATACCCTACGGGCGTCGCGGTTGCTACGCTAGTCCGGTAGAGCTAGTAGGTATAGCGTATATCGCTCCGCGTAATAGGACGTTCGAGGTAATACCTATAAACAGATTTCTATTCTTAAAAATAAAGTCGTAGAGACGCTTAGGTAGATATAATAGAGCCGAGCGAAATACCTTATTTAGGGAGTCGCCGCCCTATATAAAAGCATACTTTCCGTTAATAAGTACGCGGAGGTTGTATACGTCCGTAACGCGTAAGAATGCTACAAAGAGTTAGCTGTAGCTAAATGCGGGCCGTCGAAAGTCGATACTAATATATACTAGGGATTAACCCTAATATTTATTTATCGTTATTGCGAAACAAGGTCGAAGCAGAAGTTAATATCGCTTAAGGGTAAACGGTAGGCCTTTATTCGAATATATCTAGATTCGCGGTATCTAGTATACTTCCTAATTATCGTCGTCTAGCAGTTTCCGAACTTTAACCCCGAACTAGAGTGTTTTTACGACGATAACCCGCGTTCCGTTTACGAGTCCTACGGTCTTATAGATGTTCCGTATAATTATTATTAGTATACCTACCCGGATCCGTAGGCAAGGAATCTAGAGCTCGGTATTCTAGATAGATTTTAAAAGGCTTAAGATTTCCGGAGGCTAGTCTTTATCGCTAGGCAACTTCTCTATCTTATCCTTATAGCGATATTCGCGAATTATACCGTACGGTAGGTCGTCTACGATACGGTCGTTAATCTCGTAGGCGGTATCGTTCGTTATATAAAGGATAGCTCGAGAACGATAGAATACTAGGTCGTACTTAGCCTTAATAATACCCTATCTTAGAAAGACGAAATCGATAAGCTCGCTAAGGTCCTAGACTCTTCCGACGTATATTAGTAGCTTAATAAATCGATCGAATACGTCGTCGTATATAATACAGAGGGTCTAGCGGTAGAAGTCGACGTTCCGCGGATTGCTATCTACGAGCCGTATATTTTACTAGAGATAGAGCACCTTAATCTTGTTCTAGATTAGGAAGGCTTTAAATGTAATCGCTATTACGTCTGCTTCCTTCGAAGACTTCTTATACTCGGGAAGCACTAGAAGAGTCTATACCTAGTCGCCGCCGAATACAATAGGGACTCTTACGAAGAATAGTTCGTTACCCTAGCCGTTACTACCTAATCGTAACTTACAAAAGAGTCGATGTATAGCTATAATATCGCGACTATTCTATATCGCGGCTTCGTCCTAAATAACTAGATAAGTCTTTCGGATTAGCTTAGCGTCTATTATGTCTTACGTAATAGGACAGTCCTACCGCCTAGTATTATTTAAAGGAAGTTTGAATCGGGAGTGCGCTATACGACTACTAGGAAGCAGCTATACGGCGATACCTAAAGACGCGATATATAATACGATAAGGCTACGTGCTCTATAGGTCGCTACGAGTATACGGTATAGGAACGTCTTCCCGTAGCCTCCTAGACCTTAGATAAAAAAGTGCGCCGTTAACGGATTCTAGTCGATATCGTTCGTAATATCGGTAAAGGCTCGCCTTTAACCGTTATTAAAAAGGTAGGCGTTTTGTTAAACGTAGAGTTTGTTCCTATCTTCGTTTCCTATATCGACTAACGCTTCTTCTTAAGCGATAGCGTCGTTGCTACTACGTATCTTCGCCTACGTAGGATCGGGACTCGGTAGTCTATAGCCCGATATCTTGTATCCGTTAGCAACTAATTCGGTATATAGCTACTACTTACTATAACTTTTAGTAGCAGCATTTATCTCCTTATACCTTCCTACGTAGCCTCCGCGCCGTAGTTCGATATATAGATCTTTATATATATCCCTCTATAGAAGACTCTACTATCGCGTAGAGTCGGCTCCGGATATCGTATCCGTTAGGATAAGTAGCACGAATATAAGACACAATTGTCGGGAGGTGTATATCTTCTTAGCCTCCTAGAACGTATCTAGCTATTTATCTTCCGATCTTGTAAGACCGGATACAATCGCCGCCGCTCGAAAGCTCTTATATACGGTACCGCTATATATCCTTAAGTCGCGGAAACATTTAGTACCCCGAACGATATAGAGCAATTTAATTAAGTATAGTATCTCGCCTTTAGGACGTAAGGGCGGGTTAAGACGCGCGATCGAGTATACTACGCGCCTAGAACGTTTCTTCTACGCTTTATTATATAGCGTATAGTGTTTTAGAAACTTAAGATACGTTAAGCGCCGGCAAGACACGTCGTTGTCTAGTAGTAACGCGTTATACCGAAACTACGCGATAAGCGTAGTACGTTATCGTCTATCGCCGCGTAGGTCCGCTATCGTCGCGTTATAGTTAAATACGATATTACCCCTAGGGCGCGGTAGGTAGACGTTTAGTCGAATAACCGCGGGCTATTCTTTATAGCGCTTGCCTCCTAAGATGTTATATATCGCTATCGTAGGACTAATATATCGTATATTAACGTAGTTAGCGATCTCGTTACTAGGAATCTCGAGGCGGGTAGTCGCACGGTCGGCGCCCTTATAGACGTACTTGTTAATATATTTAATCGCCCGTAATAAGCGGACCTACTCGACGTTAATATAGGCGTTAAACCGCTTTAGTAGGTATAGATTGTACGGTATAATATAACGATTATCGAAGAGGAACGCGCGATTCCTCCTCTTGTTCTATGTCCTCCTATTATAGCGTCTACGATATTTAGGAAACGCGATATTAGTTACTACCGTCTCGTCCGAGAACTCTATAGGGAATCCCTTAGAATACGTTCCTTCGGAGTGTCGAGATAACTGTATATACGGGACGTATAAAAAGCCCGCGCTATAAGGTCTATAATATATATATTCCTTAACTAAGTTCGTTACGCTACTATCCGGGTCCTCGGCTAGGCTCGGAAGCTTAGCGCGGATAAAGTTGTCGATCTTAGATATAGTATCTAGCGCTTAATCGGGCGCGATCTATAGTAAGAGGTAAAGATAGGGGAGGCTACGCTTCTAGTATTCGACTGTCTAGCATCTCGCGATATAGCGACCGAATACGTTCCTATAGCAGACCTCGTATAAAAACTCCCTAGCTTTCTAAATAAAGACCCTTATCGTAATATCTAGGCGGTCTATTACGTCCTAATAGTCGAACAAATAACGCGTAATCTCCGGCTAGTTAGGGTTAGCCGTAAATGTAATAAAGTACGTAGGGACGCCGAAGTAGCCGACGATAGCTATAGAATCTCGGTAGCACTATAAAATCTACCGATCGCCGCCGACGTACGAGGACGGGAGAACTATTCGTAGAGCTTATAGGATGCTATCGGATAATAGAGCCCTGTTCGTAGGGACGACTAAACGGTTCCGCTATAGTAAACCGTAACGCCCGCTTTCCTCGCATTCCTCGTACTATGCCTTAGTTTAAAGAACATCGTAACGTAGGTCTTCGCCTATCTATTAAGACAACTCTCGTTAGATATCCTATCTATTCTTATTGCCTAATAGTACGCGGGTGCTACGCTATTTCGGTTGTTTTAAGTCGTATATATCTGCCTATACTTCTTTCTAATAGTTGCCTAAGAAAAGCAGCTCGTTTAAGTCTACTACGGCATATACGTCGACGTATAATTGTTATAGGAGCCGGCGACCGTAGAAGATAGTAGGAAATTAGTTTAGTCGATAGTATAAAATGTACCTAAAGTAATCCCTAAGCGTAACGTGCCTCCTACTACGCGTACGAAACTAGTTCTCCTACGAAAACCTAGGAGTTCTAGCCGCCTAGAGGAGGACGTAATATATAGGGAAGTAGTATAGATAGTAGCGATTTATACGATATAGAGTAGTAGACACCTCTCCCGTACTTAACCGCTCTACTACTACAAAATCCCTTATTCCGCTAATAGCTTCCGGATCGTAATCCGGATAGAGGGCGGCTACTTCGTTTACGACCGGCTTATTATATCGACGCGCGTCCTATGTACCTTCGTAGACTAAACTAAGGTCTATAGCCTTAAGAACGAGGCGCCTAGGTCCTTAGAAGGATATAAATATTTTCCGAGCCGCGGCGAACTTATAATATAGCGCGTTATATTGCGTAATTATCTTATATAACGCGATTATAGTACCGAAGTCTAGCTACGGCGATAGTATAGATTTCTAGTTCCGGCTAGCATATCTACGATCGCCGGATTTCTATATACGCCTCTTAGTAGTATATACGGGGTCGTAAAAGTATAGCTACGCGTATTAGGGATCTTCCGTCGGAGCGAAGAGACCGCCGCCTAAATAATACGCTTCCCCGTAAATCTAGAATAAACTATATTCTAACACCCGTATATTACGCTTAGCTATAAATAAAGTTATTACAAGGCGGTAATTGTAGGCTCGAATGTTCTCCTAGAACGTTCTTACTTCTATATCCTTAGATAGGTCTATAGTAAGTAGTCGCCGTAGTAACGGAGGTAGTTTAGGGATCGGAAATATACCTTTTACCGCGCTACTACTGCAATATATTATAAACACTATACCGTTCTTATCCGTAGAAGAAGACGGTTTGCTATCTACTCGGACGTTCGATACTTTACGGATCTAATACTTAGCTTAATAGTGTTAGTAGGTATATACTATATCGCTAATATTAAGTGTTACTACTTCGTATAGCATCGAGATATACGCCTTAGGAAGAGTAGATCTCTCTAGGCGTAAGAGGTCGGCGTTAGTAGCCTACGATCGACCTAGGCTATAGTACGCTTCGGCGACCGCTATAGGGAGGGTATTATAATCGTTTAGACGTTTAAAAGATATCCGCCCTAGAGAAGGCTAACTAGCTCGCACCTAAGGACTAGAACCGCTAGCTCTAGCCCTACTAGCAGGGGTAGTAGTAGTGTCCGTCGGTATTGCTCTAGAGGTAAAAGGAAGGCTCGGTAGAAGTAGCGGTTAGATAGGCCTTAGCGACGGAGCTCTAGGCGCGATAGAGCTACTATTCTTAATTAAACTCGTAGAGTTAGCGTTATAGGAAGGCTCCGTAAATTCAACGTCTATCGGTCTAGAAGGATCGAGAAGGTCGCCGAAGTCGTAGTAATTATCGAAAGCGTCTAGACCGTATTTATTAGGGGCCTCTATATCTAGTAGCGTCGGACCTTGCCTCTCGGCGTCCTATATAACGCTATCTCTAGGCAAGACAGACTAATCGTCCTAGTTATAGTCGCAACCTATCGGACTTAGTAGAGTATAGATGCTAGAAGCGCCGCTTACTAATATAGATATAGAATCGGACCTGCGACTAACGCTCGGAATTGTAATAGTAGGTAAACTCTACGCCGAATACGATAAAGGAGATAGTATTAGACGTAACGGGTCGACAGTATATAACTCGTAGGTAGGCGGAGTATAGGGACGCTTAGTAGAAGAAGATATATAAAAGGGGGAACGATTAGATAGCGTTTTAGATAAAACACCTTACGTATATAGCGATAATACGCTAGGGAGGTCGCGCGTCGTCCCTAACGCCTCTAACGTATCGTTAAAAACAGGACTTGCTCGACGTAACCTAGGTAATAGTCCGGTAGATACGTCGTCGTACGCTAACTATAGATATATAGCATTAGAATCGTAGTTGCTACGGGCAGAAAGTTAGGCTTTCTATTAAAGTTAGGGAATATTATCGCTCGAATACTAACCTACGCGCTAATATACTACTAGAGTATAGACTCTATAGAATCGTCTGTTCTTTCTCTAGAAGTTAGATACTAGTTTAACGATTTAATAGAATTTGCATTAACGTAGTTCGACTGCTAGTCTAGAAGCGGGACCGGGAACGGGAATACGGTTATACGGAAACGATAGCCTAGCGGAAGATTAGGAGATACCCGCTCTATGCCTCGTCTCTTTATCTCTATATAATATTGTTTAGAACGGATTATCGTCTTATACGACGTTTATCCCCGTCGACATTTTAACTAGTAATAGGGAACTAGATCTCCGCTTCGGCTTCGGCTATCGTCGTAAACGCTATAACTTAGATAGACTATCGTCCGATATTAGGTTAATCGTAAAGTCGGACGGTACGAAAGAGCTAGGTATCGCTCGCTTCTTACCTTTCCTTACGCTCTTTATATCCGGTAGCGTAAGCATCGGGCGCTTAGATCTAGAAGAAGATAGAGTAGATAGAGAAGACATTTTAGGTAAGGAAGAGCTAAGCGAGTACGCCGTACTATAGAGTTCGAAGAATCGCGGCCTTTCGTATAAAAAGCGAGGTAATTATAACGTACTATTAGTAGACCGACGATATCGAGGCGTCCTTATATGCTACCTCTTAGAGATAGGGACAATTCTAAGAGCGAGCCGTTGTTTTCTCGTAGAGATCGTCGATAATATAAGCGTTAAAGTACGCCTCGGAAATTAGGATCCTAGAGTAGTATAAGGTATACAAATCGTAAAGAGTCGATATTAGGGATCTCGGTTAGGAGGAACCGCGGCTATTAGCCTACCTACCTCTAATGCTTACTAGTCCTAAGTTGTTTATAGATAGAATAGCTAGATATTCGATATTACGAAAGAAGTCTAAGATCTAGGGAGGACGAATCGCAAAGAATCGATAGCGGAGAACCTAGTTAGGGGGGCCTATACGATTAGTACTTGCTTACGAATCGTAATAATTCGGAAATTAATACTAGGAAGTTCCTTTAACGGAGCTAGTTAGATTATTAGAATCCGTAGATTAGAAGATTCCTAGATCCTAAGGTAGTATTAGCGGAGTATATAGATTAAATAAAGGTTACCCGGAATGCTACTCCTATACGAGCCCTCGAGATCTAGTTTAGACAAATTATCCCTAACTAGTTAATCAAATCTAGGGTATATAGTTTGCGAGAGTAGTAGGATACTCGCCGGCCGAGATTACGGAGGAGGACTAAGTACGAATAGTAGGTTCGTATAAGGTAGTTCGTATAGAGGGGAGAGAGAGAGCGAGAGTACTCGGTAGATAGGCGCCTCTTTAACCGATCCTAAGAAAGCTCTACGTTTACCGGCGTAATCTAGTTTTACGTAGTATCGATCTCGCAATTTCTCGACGCGGAAAGGCTATAGGCACCCTATAGAGCGCCTAAAGTTAGGAGACTAGTAGGATAGCTACTAGATTCCTTAGGCGTTAAGTGGATTGCTCTATATAGGTACTACCGGGAGTACTATCCTCTAGTCGCCGATTATTAAAGAGAGATGCGTATATAGCTAGAGGCTATTTAGAAAACTAGATCCTACTAGAGCTAGTAGTGTTAGTAATAGCCGATTAGAGGTATTAGGCGAGGACGGCTATAACTCGCCTTTAAGCGTCTAAGATATTAGCTCGCTAAACGATAGTCCGGTATATCTAGAGATAGTGTTATAGGCGGCGGATATAGAGGATTTTAATATAGAAGAAGGTAAAGAAGCTATAATAGTACCTACTACGCCTAAAGGAAGGCAGATCGCGGTTAAAGATATAGACTAAGCGCTAGTTAAGACTATATATTCTAGGAGGGCAATTTCGGCGTTAAAGGCCTAGATTAGCGATATAGCACGTATACGCTAGCTCGGATAGTATGTTCTTCGGCTTGATTTCCCGTACTCGGCGCTCTTAAAGAGCGATATTCGTTCGGGTAGTATCGCGCAATTCTAAAGACCTTTATTTCGAAACCCCCTAGTCCTAAGTGTATCTCGAAGTGATATACGCGCCGCGTATACGTAGCTGCCTATTTGTTTGTATATATAACGCGATCTAGAAGTAATATATTAACGCGATTGTTAATACGAACTTAGAGCGCGATACGGACATTAACCGTTATTCTATCGACCGCCGCCCTTCTATATACTTCGCGTAGTCTAGTACGACTATTTCTCTCTCGATTTCCTTCGCCGATACTATTATATTAGCGATTAGAACGCGCGCGATAGTAGACTAGGAGGACGTCGATTTTATAGCTATTTAGTAGTAGGAGCTAAACTTCGCCGCTAAGTCGCTTTATAATAAGAATAACGGCGTTAAGCTAGAGACTAGCCCTATCTTCGATCGCCTAAGGGAGAACCGTAGAATAGGCCGGTAACTAGATATAGCGTACCGCGATAACCGCCGCTACGATATATACGCTAACGAGATCGTAATAGCGGTTAATAGAAGGATAAACGCGAAACTAGACACTAAGTTTATAAGTATTAGCGCCGCGTATAGATGTCGAAACTAGAGCTAATAGTAACTAGACGTACTAGTACGAAATAGTAGACGGCGGCGCAGTCGAGCTTACCTTTTAGCCGAAGGACGATAGCTCTCTCTATCCCTTCGATCGTTATAACTTCTTAGAGGCAGATAGCAAGATTCCGGCCCTAAAGAGATTCGTAAGTTAGCTCGTCGGGAAGGATTGCCTATTT